CCACACACACACTCATAACCAAGAACGCCAGCACTGTAAACATTTCTTGAGGACACACACTCACGCTCCATACAAATTCAAAATATATTTTTGTACACACACCCACACACATATTCATACACTCACGTGCATATAAGCACACACTTTCCTTACAGTTAATACAGTTAAGGTTGTCATTTAGTCATCGAGCAGACGTTGGTATCCAGGGCAACGCGCAGTCAGTGAGGGGCCACAGAAGATGAGTCAGATGTAATCAAGCCTACATCCATCTCTCATCTATCAATCTCTCCATCTTTCTATCATCTCTCCTTCTCTCATCCATCCATCATCTCTATGCCTGCCTGTTTATATTAGTACACAGCGCTGCTACAGTGAACTGGTTATTCAGAGTGTGTGTGTGTGTGGTGTGTCGTGCACACATCCGGGAGCAACATAATGTATACAATATCTGTCCTGGTACTGCATACAATATTGTTGTTCATATGTGAGCTTCTTCCTATGTTCAATTGGGGAGAGAAGGGTTCCCCCCTCCAGCTCATGTTGCTTGTACAGAATAAACAGCTTCTGCAGCCATACCCCCGCACCAGAGGGAGAGAAAGAGGGGGGAGAGCAGGAGGGTGGGAGAGTGGTGAGGGAGGGATAACAGGAGATTCAGGAGAGAGAAAGAGAGAGGGTGGGAGATTCAGTTGAGAGAGAAAGAGAGAGTGTGGGAGATTCATGAGAGAATTATGAAGAAAAGGAGGGAGATGGAGAGGGAGGGAGGGAGATCGCGTATGAGAACCTCTATTAGACAGACAAGAATCTCCCTCCATCTGAGGAAAACTTTGCAGGGGGAGGGGGCAGGATACCCCTCTCCTCTCCTCTACACCCTAGTCTCGCCATGTGAGAGGTGACCAATCACAGTGTGTGTGTGTGTGTGTGTGTGTGTGTGTGTGTGTGTGTGTGTGTGTGTGTGTGTGTGTGTGTGTGTGTGTGTGTGTGTGAGTGCGTGCATACATTAACAGTCCAGCTGGGTTACTATGCAAGAGGGGGTGGAGCCTCAACACAAGGCTGGCACAGAAGGAGGGAGGGAGAGCGGCAGGGAGAGAGAGGGAAGGAGAGAGAGTGTGATAGATAGAGGGAGGGGGTAGAGAGGGAAGGAGAGCGAGTGTGATAGATAGAGGGAGGGGGTAGAATGAGGGAGAGAGATTGTGTGTGTGAGAGGGTGAGAGAAAGAGCGAGTGAGGGAAAGAGTGGATAGAGAGCTGAGAAGAAGAGAGTGCTGAGATCTTCTCCGTGTCAGTGGGAGCTGCTTCTGTCACTCTGGGTGTTAGCAGAGGCTGCCTCTGGTAGGGAGAGGGAGAGAGAAGTAGAAAGAGAGAACAAGGGAGAAACAGAGAGCGCGAAGGAGGAGAGAGAGATAGAGAGAGAGGGAGGAGCACAAGGATCTATCCTGGATACTTCGTCACTCTTTCTCCTCCTCTTCCTCTCGTTCTCCGGACTCGTCTTTAGAACAGAGGGAAACCTCAGACTCAGTGCTCATCCGTTGCCGTGGCAATGGGCTGTCGGCTCTCAGGGCCGTGGTTCGGCGATGGATTGGGGGTTAGTGTACACCCTTCTAAATATGTGTGTGTGTACATGCTTTCGTGCGTGCGTATGTGCATCTATGTGTGTGTGTGGCGTACCTGTGTGGATGGGATTTATGGATAGAGGCAGGGTTGTGGTGATGTGTTGGTGTCATGTAGATGATCAAGGAGATGGAGAATAACGGAACAGAATACACACCATGACATGATGCCTGCTGTGTGTGTGTGTTTGTGTGTGTGCACGCTTGCATATGTGTATGCGTGCATGTGGGCGTGTGAGAATACAGAATAAGAGATAGATGGTATATTATAATAAGAGAAATGTCATATGTGTGTGAAAGAGTTCTTCTATCTTCTAGAGAGATTGTGTCTACAGACAGATCTGTTCTGCTGTCTCTGTTCTAGCAACATTCAGCTCTGTGTATTATAGTGAGGCTCTGTGTGTGTGTACGTTCATGTGTGCGTGAGTGTGTGCGTGTGTGCATGACAGTGTGTGTGGGTACAGTTGTGGGTGTGTGTGGCAGCCTCTTGTGACCAGCGTTGATGATTACAAGGAGTGACAGCCTTGCCCATCCAATACCACTGAGAGCTGTGACTCTGTCTCTCTGTCTCTCCACCTCTCTCTTTCGCTTGATCTCTCTTGCTTTCTCTGTCCCCTCTCCTCCTCTCTCTTTCACTCTTCCCCTCCTCTCTTTCTCAATCCTCTCCCCTCTCTCCCCTCCTGTCTCTCACTTTCTCTCTATTCACTTATCCTATTTACCTTACAAATTGTCTCTCTCCACATTTCCATCTCTACTGTTCATCGTCTCCTCTCCTCTCCTCTCCTCTCCTCTCCTCTCCTCTCCTCCTCTCCTCTCCTCCCACTTTCTCTCTATTCACTTATACTATTTACCTTACATTTATCTCTCTCCACATTTCCATCTCTACTGTTCATAGTCTCCTCTTACCATAAAAAAGGTAGTATGTTACCGTACCGTATTTTACAGTATCCAATACTGTTACTGTAATATTTCTTACTATTGTTTTTACTGTAATTTACCGACAACTGGCTGCCTGTACGTTAATGTAAAACAACAGTACAGTGCGTTACTGTAATATTTTTACAGTAAATGTAATGAATGAATGAATTGATTAATTCCTTAACTAATTGAGGGGAGATGGGGTTTGTATTTTACAGTATTTTACCGTAATTGCATGGGATTGGTGCAAGCAGATTGGCTGCTAGGTAATGTGTTTACATATTACAGCATATCAATGAATACCAGTTTGGAAGCCTTTGTTAAGGGCCCTTAAAAAGCCCACATTTTGGCTTTTATATCACTTGCACTGCTAGAGACCTATTAACAAAGGCTTCCAAACTGGCAGTGACTAGAGGGCAAAACAGACCAAAGGACATGGCAAATACTCAACCATTAAATGTTTGAGACTTGCTGCCACTCCAATCTGTCCCCTATACACATTTAATTGTTGGGGCACTACTACCACATATCAGTTGAAGGTGCACTATGCAGGAATCGCTCCACCATTTCCTAGATGCAAAAATTCTAATAGTTTGCCTAATTTCAGTTTATGTGACAAAACAAAAAAGTTTAGTATAGAGAATCATTGTGTCATCTAAACCACTGCGAAATATATTTTCCATAACCAAAAATATTGTATTTTCAGCTTTTTTAAGCTAGTGTACGAAACCAAATTAAAAGACACAAAACAAAACTTAAGAACGGGATGCATAGAAATAGCGCACATAGAACAGATCTACTGCTTCTTAGACTTGCTTTCAATGGCAATGACAGATCTATAACTCACACTTGTATGTGAATTTGGTCAGGTCACCCATAAGGTTACATATTGCAGCTTTACATTGGTACAGCACTCTCACAAATGTAGCCTCTTACAAGGCACGCCTCAAAATATGTTAATGAGCCAGAAACAATACCATGCAACAACTAGTGATCAAAAGGTTTTTGGCGTTCCAAAAATACAGTATGGTAATGTATTCTGTGGGGTGGAATTACAGTACAATTAGAAATAAAGCAATTCTTTACTTGCCCACAACATTTTCCCACAATGCACCATCATTTACAATATGCTGCTGTATAATGCTTCACAGTATTTTAATGTTGATAGATGTACAACTTTACCGTCTAAATCACAGTTTTCCATTAAAGTGTAATATTCGGTATAATTAATTTGTAAATCATATAAATGTTGTTTGGTTGATTCACTTCAGACCTTGATGCCGCTCAATCCGATCACTCACAGTTGTTTAAAAAAGTTGCCAGTTGCTAATCCCACAATGCTGTGTGGTTACAGTAGTGTACTGTTAAACCAAAGTTTCTTTGGAATTTACGTTATCATTAACTGTTCACGCCTAATTTCACCCAGAGTGCATTACCATTTACAGCAATTTATTCTAAATAATGAATACGGTACTTTATTGTTAGTGTTATTGTATAATACTGTAAAAACAATAAGATTGTTTCGCAGTGCAGTCTCCTGACTCTTCACCCACAGAGCTTCTCTGTACAGATGGCATTTTATATCACTGCACATGGCGCACATTAAAAGGCCGCCATAATCCTGCCATTGTGTGTGTGTGTGTGTGAGGACAGTGGATTGCATGGATAAAACCATTAAATTATATCTGTCTAGCTTTGTCAAATGTGTGAGTGTGTGTTTGTGTGAGTGTGAGTGTGTGTGTGAGTGTGTGTGTGTGTGTGTGTGTGTGTGTGTGTGTGTGTGTGTGTGTGTGTGTGTGTGTGTGTGTGTGTGTGTGTGTGTGTGTGTGTGTGTGTGTGTGTGTGTGTGTGTGTGTGTGTGTGTGTGTGTGTGTGTGTGTGTGTGTGTGTGTGTGTGTGTGTGTGTGTGTGTGTGTGTGTGTGTGTGTGCGTGCGTGTTACAGCATGCCTCAGATAAGGCTGGATGTGTGCTTGGCTGGGTATCTCCTCATGGGGTTAGCATGTCAGGAAAATCAGAGGAGGTGAAAGTGGCTCCAGATCATGTCGACACACAGATGCACAAACAAGCTCTAGCTCGTATACACAAACACGCAACTGCAAATCACAAACACACACGCTTCAATTGTAAATACAACACATTTTACAGTTACACTCACAGAGATAGACAACACACTCATACACAGTGCTCTCTGCAACCTTCACAGTAAATACATGTATTGCTCTCTCTCTCTCGTCTCTCTCTCTCATCTCTCTCTTCGCTCTCTCTCTCTCTATCTCTCCTCTCCTCTCTCCTCCTCTCTCTCTCTGCCTCTCTCTCCTCTCTCCCTCTCTCTATCTCTACTCTCTCTCTCTCTGTAGTTTCTGTGTGAACTGTAGGAGGTGGTGAGTCGTGTAGTTATGAGATGCTGTGTACAACTGTGTCACTCTGGTTGGGTTGGGTTGGGTTATGGTGTGGTTGGCTCACGGCTCTAGTGTCATGGCTCTGGTGCTATGCTTTGCATCGGGTGGGTACAGAGTGCTTCATTTCAGAAGCCAGGTATTGAATTCGAAATGTTTGTTTGTCTTCTTGGGTTGGAACACTGATATGCCCTTAGTTCTCATCTCTCCATCCCCTCCCGTGATTAGAGTGCTCTACAGAGTAGATGAGTCAACTCTGAACCCCCACAATATGTAGCCTGGTGCACTATATGGGGAATATGGTGTCATGTGTCTCTTTGTGTTTCCTCACAGGTCAGTGGGCGGGATCTGAGTCACCTGACCAAACGGGATCTTTCCCACCTGAGCAAACGGGATGCTCTTAGAATCCTGGCTGCCTATGAGCAGCCAATAACACTGCAGATCAAGAGCCAGCGTGGGAGGGGTTATGGCCTACAGGACTGCAGCACGCAGACTGAGAGACAATGGGAGGCTCTCACCCTGCCCCCCCACCTGGCCCTGCGCAGTCTGGGTGTCACAGCACCCGGGACCATGCCCAGGGTCAACCGTGCCTACCAGGACAGGTAGAGTCATAGATAGAGATAGACAGATACACTTCAGCTGTCTATAAAAATTTACTAATATCTTACTCCACTAATTGTTAGATTTGATGACTCCACATCACTCTCTCTCTTTCTCTCTCTCTCTTCTCTCTCTTCTCTCTCTCTTCTCTCTCTCCTCTCTCTCAGACACTACTGCAGCCACATGAGTCTGCCTCGTGATCACCGTGACAACGGGAGATATGAGTACCTACCTAACGCTCCACAAGACACAGAGGAGTTGGATCCACTAGGTTACCAGGTGAGACAAAACACAGACACATGTTCACACAAACACACGCCTACATATCTGTACATATCTACCTCAAAAACTCCAGTATATCTGCACATTGTAAATGTGGTACTGGCACTGACCCTGTATAGCTTCCTCTCTTATTTCTTATTTCTTGTGTTTTCTGTATTATATACACTACCAGTAAAAAGTTTTAGAACACCTACTCATTCAAGGGTTTTTCTTTATTTCTACTATTTTTTTACATTGTAGAGTAATAGTGAAGATATCAAAACTATGAAATAACACATTTGGAATCATGTAGTAACCAAAGAAGTGTTAAACAAATCAAAATATATTTGATATTTGAGATTCTTCAAATAGCCACCCTTTGCCTTGATGACAGCTTTGCACACTCTTGGCATTCTCTCAACCAGCTGCATGAGGTAGTCACCTGGAATGCATTACAATTAACAGGTGTGCCTTCTTATAAGTTAATTAGTTGAATTTATTTCCTTCTTAATGCGTTTGAGCCAATCAGTTGTGATGTGACAAGGTAGGGGGGTATACAGAAGTTAGCCCTATTTGGTAAAAGACCAAGTCCACATTATGGCAAGAACAGCTCATGATTCCATATGTGTTATTTCACAGTTTTGATGTCTTCACTATTATTCTACAATGTCAAAATAAAGAAAAACCCTTGAGTAGGTGTGTCCAAACTTTTGACTGGTAGTGTAAATATTATTTGTTATACTATTTTGATATTGATTACTGCCCTGTTTTGTAGAGTTTGAAAGCTAAGCATTTCACTGTACATGTGTATTTAACAATACAACTTAAACACACACACACACACTCACACAGACACTTTGACAAACTGTCACTTAGTAGTAGGATACCACAGGTAATGTCATAAAGCTTTTCCTTTGGTTTTGTATGAACAATAATCACTTGATGTTGTCAGCCAATGCCATACCCTATAATTAAGTCTACTGTATGTGGGTACTCTGTCTGTGATTGGACCACCATTCATCACTCAGTACCTGTAGTAGAGACAATCAATCCATCAGTAGTGTTAAATCCTGCACCCCACTCATTATTGGCATTGATATAACTTCCTGTGTTGTAGACAGGTGATTATAATTAGCCAAGGTAATTAGCCCATTGTACTGTATGGTACAGTACATGTGACGCAAGGAACTAGACCTCATGTGGGTTTAGTAGTGGGTTGTATGGCTCTGGAGGTGAGATTGTACGCAGTGCTCTTTGAACAGGGGACTGCACCTGGGGAAACATATAGAGAACAACAGATACTGCACTAGAGGAGGTTCAGAGCTTACTTCTCCGGGGTGTGTGTGTGTGTGTGTGGGGAGAACGAAACCGTAAACATCCTGATAGCCTCTTTGATTGAATAGGGCCCAAGCTCTTCCAATGAGTTGTGTCTGAATCAGGGCCAATGTGCAAATGACCAAGTCCAGCCGTCTAGTCCATATTGCATCCCTCTTGAAGGAAAAGCACCCTTAGAGTTCGCTGATCAAGGCTTTGATGCACTTTTATTTTCCAGAGTGGCTGACTATGTACTATAGTGTAGATCAGGGCTGTACAACGATGCATTTTTCAAAATGGAGCAGCTTCCCTCAGCCAACCCAATCTGGAATTATTCATGCTGCCGACAAGCATTAGGGACCTGAGATGGAACTATAGACACACACACACACACACACACACACACACACACACACACAAGCAGGATTGCTCAGGCACAAACAGCCAGGGTGCTTTTATGCTGCATAAATAAAAGAATAATAACCAAATCAAAAACGGATCATATTTACATCTAAATCATCAACACATTTGTCATCAAACACATACAAACACAACACATACAGTATATACCCAAACACACTCAGTGAAGCACACACACCCATGTGCACACGCTCACACAATCATAAACAGCGCTCACGTGTTCAGCGGGCTGAATGTGAGCTGCACCTAATGAAATCCCCTTGGAGAATGGAAGGATGCTCAGCTTAGGATACAGAGGGAAAAACACACTCCTCTCTCCCATCTACAAACATACTCGTTTACTGTCTACAGCACACACTGATGCACATACTGCTGCCAGACACAACCTGAAGTTCAGTGCAGTAAATCTGTATTGCAGACCTACAGCATGTAATGGACTTGCATTAACGCCCACATTTAATAATCAGGGTCCAGATTCACAAAACACTTCTTACGCAAAAACTTAAGAAGCTTCTTAAGAAGGTTTTGTGAATCTGGGCCCAGGACTTTTGATAACAAAGGGATATTTAGGGGGCTTTTTTTTAAGAGGCTTGATCGCTCCAATATAATTATATTAGAAAATTGAAATTGCATAACCAAAGTTCTATAATTAGCATTTTTTTAAAAATCAGATGCTTGTTTATTCACGTAAACATATATTATTCATAGTTAGTTAAACATTGATTAACCGCTCGCTCTCTCACTCTCTCTTCTCCATCCCTCCCTCCATCCCTCCCTCCCTGGGGACCTCTCTCTCTCCAAGGACCCGGAGCTGGCCAGTCATGTTCCGAGGGATCAGAGCTGTCTGATTGGCTGCTGCAACAACCTAGAGGAGCCCAGCAGTTACCACAGTCAGGTGTGTGTATGTGTGTGCGTGCTTGCGTGTTTGTGGGTGTTCATGTCTGTGTGTATGTACTGTATTGCTGCATACTGTGTGTTATCACTAACCTCTCTCTCTCATCTTCAGACTGAGGATGAGGACTATATGTTGGAGAAACCTCTGGGCTACCTGCCACTCCACCATGAGCTGGACAGCGGTCTGGGCTGGACCGATGGTAGCCTGCACCAGGGAGACCTTTCTGGCCTGGAGACAGAGGAGGGGGGTCTGGAGGAATGTCACCCCAGGGGAGGGGGCCTGGTGGTCAGCGGAGGAGGGGGTGGAGGTGGAGGGTCTCCATCCTCTGAGTCCTTCATCTCGTCTGAGCTGAGTGACTCAGGGTTCTACAGCGTGAGCACGGGAGAGTTCCGCCGCTTCCAGAGGCTGTTAGAGAAGCGTATGCGCCTGTACAACGATCGTCTACACCACCAGAGGGAGGTGTGCGAGCGGGAGCGCCGCGACAGCTGCCAGAAGAACCACAGAGAGCTGCTTGAAGCCATCCCTGAGGCACTGACCATGCAGCCCCAGCACTCCTGCCCCACACCTGGCCTGGCCGCTCCATCCATTGGCCCTCCACCCCGCGGACTCTTCAGGTAGGGGTTTATCACCAGACTATTATCATTATGATTGTCATAGTTTTCCATGATAACATGATCCATAGCCATCCAAATCCTATCTTCAAAGTATCCTCAGTCCAGTGTTGAACGATGATGATGCATGTTGTTCACCACTTTATCATCTCATGTATAACTTCTGTTGTCCTCTGTGTCTTCAGGGTGTCGTCCGTCCAGTTCCGGAAGGCAGATCGTCCCTGTCTGAGCAGACACAGCTCAAGCAGCGGCTCCCTCTTCAACCCTCACCACGCCCCTGTGCCCCTCTCTGCCCATGCCCCTGTCCTCTCCACCTGCAGTACCCCCTCCGGCCACCGCAGGCCGCCACCTCCACTGCAGCACCAGGGCTCCAGCTCAATGGGGACAGCTGCGGAGAAGCAGAACCCTGCACCACCGTGGCCCACCCCAGGAGCGTGTCAGACGGGCTAGTCACCCGTCATCCCCCTCCTATGCCACCCTGCAGCATTGTGGGGTAGCGCCACCTAGAGGCCTGGAGCTGGGCCCGCCTGAAGAGGGAGAACCAGAACTGGTCCTCACACACCCAGCAGGACTGGCCCTCTCACCCCAGCAACATGCAACCTCTCTGGGGGAACACAGAGGGGCTGTGCCCTTACCCAGGGGACATTACTGCGACAATAGTGCAGGTCGTGATCAGCTGGTTAACGACAGGAGGCAGCAGCAGGAGAGGAGCTTTATGACAGAAATACCAGTGCGGGAGAGGGAGCAAGAGAGAGAAAGAGAAAGAGAAAGGGAGCGTGAAAGAGAGCGAGAAAGAGAGCGAGAAAGAGAGCGTGAAAGAGAAAGAGAAAGAGAAAGGGAGCGAGAGAAAGAAAGAGAGCGGGAAAGACAAAGAGAAAGAGAGAGAGGAAGAGAGGTGCACCGCTTCAGCACCATCAGCCACCCTCCCCAGACATCCATCGACATCCATGAGACATGGCCTAAACCGGCCAATCGTCTGTCCCACCAGGGGTCAGGGGGTGGTGGGGGCCTCTACAGCACCCTGGAGGGCCACACTGGGGTCGGGGCTGGGGTCGGTGGAGGGTCCAGGAGGTGCCCCAATCCTAACCCCAATCCCAACCCTACCCCCAACACTAACCCCAACCATCCTAACCCGAGAGCTGTGAGGAACCAGATTCTTCGCGACCGGGCGTCGCAGCTAGCAGACGAGCGCAGCGGGATGAGTACGGATGAGGAGAGTCAGGAGGTGATGAGAGGGAGGTACTGGAGCCGCACAGAGAGACGGGAGCATGTCCTACTGGCCCGGGAGCAGAAACAGCAACAACAGCAGGCCCGAGGGCAGCAGGCTTACACAAGGCCAGAAGACAATGGAGGATCAGGATCTCTGAGAGAGGCAGGCGTCAACACAAGAGGAGGAGCTATGGGAGGAGGAGGGAGAGGAGTTATTCAAGAGGAAGAGGCTATGTCTGGAAGGGGAGGGTCTTTGGGAGATGGCCGGTGCAGCACGGTGCTGGAGCTCAGCCAAAGGAAGTTGAGTCGTCTGCAGAACAGGAAGCTGTTAGATGATTGGACGACGGTGGAGGAGCTGCTGACTCACGGGACGAGGCTGGGCACCCGAGACGAGATGCCCCTCTGTCCCAGCTCACTACTGACTGTCACTACTGTATAGGGTGTGTGTGTGTGTGTGTGTGTGTGTGTGTGTGTGTGTGTGTGTGTGTGTGTCAGTGCATGACCTTCTTACTAACTGAATACTATAACACACTGCAAGTGTGTGTCTGTTACAATCTGTGAGTCTGTGTGAGAGAGGAGCGGTATGTGTGTGTGTGTGTGTCTGCACCATGTCTGGCTACCTCATGCTCATGGGGTTTGTGAAACACAATAGAGAGAAATAGTAATGGTGTCTTTTTGTAGCCACTAACTCCACCATGGTTTGTATGACAAAACCTATGAGGTAAATTAATGGCGTTTTTGGAGGGGTTTTGGATAAACGCCGAAAATAATGTCTGTGGTAAACACAGGCTTAGGAGATTTTTATTTTGTATTTATTTCACCTTTATTTAACCAGGTAAGCCAGTTGAGAACAAGTTCTCATTTACAACTTCGACCTGGCCAAGATAAAGCAAAGCAGTGCGGTAAAAACAACAACAACAACACAGAGTTACACATGGAATAAACTAAACGTACAGTCAATAACACAATAGAAAATCTATATACAGTGTGTGCAAATGTAGTAAGTTATGTAGGTAAGGCAATAAATAGGCCATAGTGCAAAATAATTACAATTATAATTTCGTATTAACACTGGAGTGATAGATGTGCAGAAGATGATGTGCAAATAGAGATACTGGGGTGCAAATGAGCAAAATAAATAACAATATGCGGATGAGGTAGTTGGGTGGGCTAATTACAGATGGGCTGTGTACAGGTGCAGTGATCGGTAAGCTGCTCTGACAACTGATGCTTAAAGATAGTGAGGGAGATAAGTGTCTCCAGCTTCAGAGATTTTTGCAGTTCGTTCCAGTCATTTGCAGCAGAGAACTGGATGGAATGGCGACCAAAGGAGGTGTTGGCTTTGGGGATGACCAGTGAGATATACCTGCTGGAACGCATACTACGGGTAGGTGTTGCTATGGTGACCAATGAGCTAAGATAAGGCGGGGATTTGCCTAGAAGAGATTTATAGATAACCTGGAGCCAGTGGGTTTGGTGACAAATATGTATGTATGGCCAGCCAACGAGAGCGTACAGGTCACAATGGTGGGTAGTATATGGGGCTTTGGTGACAAAACGGATGGCACTGTGATAGACTACATCCAATTTGCTGAGTAGAGTGTTGGAAGCTATTTTGTAAATGACATCGCCGAAGTCAAGGATCGGTAGGATAGTCAGTTTTACAAGATCTTATACATTTTGTTCTATGAGAATCTTCATCAGCTAACATCACTTTTTGTGAATTTTGAAGAATGTATGTAATAATAAAAGACACATAAATCACATAAAAGCATAATTCGTAAAGGTCATGTAACTGACTGCTATCATCTCATAGAACAAAATGTATAAGATATCCTAAGCATGTGTTAACCTCAGACCTTATTTTCTGTGTTGATTTCCAAAACCCAATTCTTTCTCCATTCATGTTTCCCATTGGGATGGCTGAACGAACCAGAGGTAACTAATTTCCTGGTTTTAAGACTACAGCTAGCGAGCTCTATACAGTTTCATGTAATTTTGTTGATGTTATCTTTGGGTATTTTTTTTATGTAAAAACGCTGACTGGTGACATTGATGAAACTCTTACGTTTGGACTTTTACGCCTCAACTAAAATCGTGACTGAGATTTCTAAAAGCAATACTGCACTGTAAGAGAATATGCCAGAACACAACTCACGGGACATGAGATAAGATGTCGTCCTACACCGATGCCACTACACAGCTAGTGTAGCACTGTGTTGATTGATAACCACCCCACTCAATCAACGTGTTTTTGACACAGAGATCCAGTTTACAGTCTAATAGGGGGATGGTGTTGCAGTGGGAGATGTTTGTACAGTACCTGATGTGATCGTGTTCAACCTACCTGGTACCCTTGATTGCGCAACAACCAACCCAACCCTCTCCACCCTATCATTGGCTTGACGTTTACATTGCCTGTTTCCAGTGATAGATACTGTAGAGTGGATAGATGGAGTTGGCTGATGCTGAGGCTGGCCAGAGGTTAATGGTAAATAGTTATGGTACTGGAGGTCTCTGCAAGTTAGGGTTCAGTTAAGCCCAGAAAAGAGGCTGCTGTTTTTACAGTTAACCCATATAACCTTGACTGTACAGCAAAGGGACTCTGGCCAGTGGAATGATTGTAAAATGATATATTGGTGTTGTTTTTTATCACAAAGCTGTTATGGAAGGTTACGAATAAAATAGTTTATTGTAGTGGTGTAGAGCCCTTCCAGATATAACACTCACAATCCATGTAAACAACAAAAAACTACTTGTTTTTATAATTTGTAAAGAGCTGTGTCTGGCTTTATTTATGGTTTGAAAGGAGTGGACCAGGATTCTGTATATTGTTTTTAGCTGGCTATGTATAGCCATGTTCCTTCTGTATTATTTTATTCTGTACATATTCATTATGGAACGTACGGTACAAGGCTAGGGTACAGGGTGGACAATGGGGTGTCAAGCTCTAGTTGCCGAGGGCCACGATGTCTGTGAAATTATATTTCTCCCTTGATTGATCACTGAAGTCAGATAGATGGGGGTCAGATGTAAAAAAATAAAAAAAAATAAAAAATGAAGAAAAAAAATTATATATATATATATATAAAATAAAAAGGCTTATGTCAGGGCTATGCAGCCCTGTTAACGCAAGGTTCACTGTGGTAGGTACTACTCACACTGTCATTGATAACTTAATGAAAGGCGTGATAATAGGTGTGATTTGCATTGTGCATCATCAGCACTCGTCATTAGTGGCACATGGTGCAATGGGATCACACACCTTGAGTGTTTCTCACACACATACAGCAAGAAAGACTCGCACCTGCCTGGTGCGTGAGCTGAGAGAGGGAGAGGAAGAGAGAAATGGAAGACAGAGAGGGGGAGAGAGACAGAGGGAGAGGGAAATAAATACTGAGAGAGAGAGCGAGAGAATGGGAGGGAGGGAGGGAGGGGGAGGGAGGGAGGGAGGGAAGGAAGGAGGTAGGGAGAAAGAGAGCGTGATGGATTCCTTGCATGACTCAAACGCCCGGAATAATGGATGAAAAACGTCAGCATTTATTCCCTCCATCCCCCTCTTCTATTTCTCTCTATATATACTGTATGTGAGGATTATCAAGGCTGAAAATAGCCTTCCTTTCCTGTGAGAAGTGAAATCACACAGGAAAGACGCTTGGGGGGGGGGGGACTTGTGATTTAAAGCTCTGCACACTTCTGGTTCCTCTCCCTACTCCCACTATACTGTTTCCCCACAGACTGGGCGCCAAACATCTCCCACACCTTAGCGTCTGTGCAACTCTCTGGTTCTGCTCGTTTTCACTTTTCAGAAGACTCTTTTTGGATATGGTGATGATGTACATGTGGTTGTAATAAAGAGATTTTAATTAGCTACTAAAACCTGTCCAGTATTTGAATTTTGATTCTACAATGTGATCAGATAAGTACATTTAGCTCCACCTAGCCTTCCATAGAGCCTCCTTACCTATTCCATTCCTTCAGATTTTCCTCCAGCCAGTTTGTAAACCAGTTTTATGGAGTTTTTTTTCCACATCCGTGAACATGTGGTCCTCCACTCTGAGCTGTCCTACCTGGACCTAACTGATCTGAAGAAACAAGATGGCTGAACACAACCTGGCCTCCCAGGAATTTGGTTCCACCTGTCAACTTCTTTCCCATCAGTGTGTGCATAACTAAAACGAGACAAGTAGAGGGACCCATTCCACCAAATCAATATGGTCAATGTTGATCCTCTGGGTCCTCTGTAGTTCATGTCATGTGACAACAGGCTAGCTAATAAACCCGTTTTGATTATTATAACTTGATGGTCAGTCCTCACTCACTATGATGATCTGATATCTGGAAGGATTTACAGTAAATACTTAACACCCTTGGAAATTTAAACAAACCTAAAATAACACTACATTTCACATATAAATGCACTACAGAATACTACAAACACTCTGCTCAAAACCAAAGTAGTACATTCTATGGGCCACCGTAGCATATGATGTCATTCGAGACTCAGACGTTGATCTGAATGTGACTTCCTGGTTTAAATACTTCTATCCTGTCCCTGGTCTGACTCCAAACTCATGTCGTCAGCAGCAGCACCCACCCATCACCACAACGACAACATGCGATACCACGTCTGGCCAATCGTCTAATGAGCTTGGTCTTATATAACCAGTGTGAATGATGAGCCAGTCAGCCATGCTGAGGAGACGCACCTTCTTCTGCCCATACTAATTCCTTTATTACCCTGACAGCCTATGAGGGTGAACAGCTGTCCACAGACACACATAGACAGAGACAGTCAGACCCATCTGTAATCTTTCCTATAGGCCTATGGTACATTTCCACCTGCAACACTCTGAACATTGGTCCACTCTACCAGATAAGCAATGCACACACAGGGACTGGAAAGGTCTAACTGGCCAGTTGGCTGTTATGTGGTGTCTTTTCTCTGCTCTCAATCCATATTTCTCTCAACGTTTGTTTCTTAAAAAAACAAAAAAACACTGTACATTTGCAGTGGGTATAGGGGCATATATTAACTGACTGGATGACCGCAATCATCAGTTCCATACTCTGTATTATTTACCTGTGTGAATCCTCTTGTTCCTAATCGGTTCCTTTACAAAATAAAGGCAAAATGGAACCCAACTGTGCAGAAGCACAAAATGGAATCCAATGACAGGGAAAAGCTCTTCATTATCACAATCTAGCTCTACCAGGCAGTGAGTGAGGCTGTATCTCACCAGGCACCGTCCTGCTGGGGGATTGGTGTTATAGCAGCGCCATCTTGTGCCACAAACCTGTCATAGCATTCTATCGGTTAGAAAATGGTGCATGACCTGCTTTAGATTGGTGGAGAGGATACTACCATATGTGTTGTAACTGTAGAGACAGGTTTCATTGGGTTTGCCTGGGGGGGAATAAGCAGAGTGAGAGATTGTTCTTCCACAGACAATAAACGAATAAAACTAAATAAAAAGTCAGGAGGACTCAATAACACAGTGGTCGAGTCAACAAAAATCTAAATGGTTTAATAACATGTATTAATAAAAAAAACACAAAAAGACAATATGTCCAGAAACGGAGTTAAAAGCAGACCAGTTGGGACACACTCCATGTAATAACTCCTGTATTGTATCTGTACATCAGTCATCCTACAGAGAAAAAGACAGACAGAGAAGGAGAGAAGAGAGGTGATCCTATACTATTATAGACTGTTGCTTCCCTCTTCTCTTAGTTTGTTTGTTACTCATCCAAAACATGTGAAAATGAGAAAGTGTGAATCTGCCACATTGCAGGAGTTCCCAGTCAGAACTCTCACCTAAAACTTGTGACATCATCAGGTCACATACAGCAGTCTTTGATAGGAGGGAGATAATCCAGGTACCCATAGCAGCACAGAGAGAGGATAGAGAGAGACAGCCGGTTGGGAAAGTCAACAGCCTGAGCGATAGAAGGCTGTGATGTCATAATGAGAGTCTTTTGGGGTTGTGGTGAGGGGGTGATGTCATAATGACAGTCTTGAGTGATGTCACAAAAAGAGTCTTGATTTTAGGAGTGTAAAAACAGGCCTGTCCTTCCCCCTCCAGAACCACAGGGGGCGATGATGATGGTGCTGGCTCAGTCCAGTCCCCCGATATCATGCTGCTTGTAGGACTGTGAAACCAGGCTCCCTGTTGGAAAGACACCAAGAATATCACACAGAATAGAGAACTCCATGAATAGAATACTTACATGGTTGCCATGGCACCGTAAGGAAGCCTAGGCAGAGAGCTCCTATATATATATATATCTCTAAATATGTTATTTCAAGAATGTTTTTATACCAACTTTTTGCTTTCCATTACTTCTTGAGTGTTTCTGAGCTATAATATTTGGTGTCAGTTTGGCAAGTCAGTTTTTTTGGCTTGGCTAGCCATTTGAATGATGCACCAGCACCAGCTTTTCCACCTGCCCTGGTTGCATGAACGATGTGGACAACAGTTTGAGGGGTTGAGAGAGGCCCACCTCATAGGGGACTGTTTGCTGACTACTGCCAAGGTGCGGTGGTCTTTCTGGCGCTTATAGCTGCCGAAGCATTACCCAGGTGGGTGCTACACTTTAGTAGCGGACTGTCCAGCCTACCTACAGAGGAGAAATGAACGAGGTACTTGATGAAGAGCTACGGGCCTGTCTAAGTAACTGAACGACACTGCTCTCTCTGTGCCATCGATGCTCCCTCCGATTAAGCTACTGCCCAGCCTTTCTGAACTGCCTGGCTAAACAACACCTTATCATCTGAAGCTATGAAAGACCATTGCCCAAGACCTTCCAGATCTCTACATTTGTTTTGTTCATTTTTACAGAGTCTTTGAGATTGTCTTTGTAATGAAAAGCGCTATATACAACAAATCTATTATTATAACTCACAACATACCTCGTCTGAGATACACTGAGATTATGTCCTTGAACACATTAAATGTTGCCCATCTTACCAGGTACAGAAATTTTTGTGCATCAAGATGAATTTCAAACTTTCCCCAGAGCAGACAGTATTGTCGGTCAACATGAACTAAACACTGAATTCAATACAGAGGCATTTCAGGTATATCATGGCTCTTAGCATAATCATTTTTTTTTAAATGCAACTTGAAAAGAGAGGTGGGCGGTGCATTGGAAAGTAAAATGTGATTAAAAATAAGAAATTCCCTTACTGTCCAACAGCATACAGTCAATTTCTCCTTTTAAATCACGATGCATAGCCTGGTGGGTCATTCCATGTCATTTTAGAAAACCATGACACCCACCATCTCAGATTGTTCTGAAAATCATTTCTGTAGTTCGAAACAGATAAGATTACCATTCCTGCAACCTTATTTTGTTGAAATATAATTTGATCTCTGAGAAATTAAGCAAATTGATTGCAACCCAAATTAACAATTTTAATTCATAGCATTCACATAATATTCAATAAATATAGTACCTTACATGCGATATGGACCAAACTTTTTTCCAACACTAGCTTGGTTTCCATTGGCGACATATTTTCATGCGAATATTCTAAAATCCACAAAGAAAAAGTGGTGCGTTTCCACCAAACGGACTTGTTGCAGGTAAAAATAATCAATGTGTGACAACGTAGGTAACACAAAATGTACTTTTATAAGTATAATACAAATCTAAAGTTCACTGTGTTTCCATCGCATTTCAACTCTACCAATAGTTTTGTCACAAAAACTGTTGGGTTAAATAGCAAATGTCCCAACTCTGGTCTCGGCACGTGCGCTCTAGCCAAAAGCTTGCGGGTAGGCTGTGCGTGTAGGCTAGTCTACATGATGAGATTATTACAGATACGAGCGAGAATATTTTTATTTGTCAAAGGCAGTCAAGCATCGATCATCATGTCACCAGAATAAGACCCTCAATATTTATTGGAAAGGAGCATCAAGATCTTCCATGCACTTTCACCATCCTGTGAGTTCATCATAACTTATTTAATCTGTAGTCTAATAAACTGCATGATTTCCCGAGTCGTAGTGGGAGGACCACACACCATAAAATCGCGTGACTCCAAGTTTACTTCGATATGACGGTTATTAAATCAATATTTGCGTATAAAAGGCATTTCCACCGCCATTTCTCGCATAATTATTTTTACAGACAAAAAGATCCCACCATGTCGATTTTTATTTATTTTTAATACGATATGACTTTGCTCGTAAAAACTGGATGGAAACGTGGTAAATGAGTAAAACACGAGGAATCCAAAGAAATAGTCAAATGCCACCCACGGACCCCCACACTAATCCCAATCCAACAACGAATATTCAGTATCAGTTCCCTATGTCTGACAAGTAGTATAGAGCTGCGGATCGGAGTATTGTTTCTTCATCCTATGTAATGTATTCTCAGTGAATTTAGTGGATGTTTTTTTTCTTCCACAGTTCAGAGAAATTAGTCATTGAAGTTGTTAGGTTTATGTCCCATCCTATGTCCTGATAATACCAGGTCTGACCACTAGATAGTGCTGTTTCTGCTATTAGGTTATTTTCTTTTTAAAGACTCCCCCACCCCTCAATGTTAAAGGGATAGTTCACCCAATTTACCCTGCTACACTATAGCTATCAGCCATCTGGCATTGCTATCAGCCGTTGAGGAAATGCTTCATTGAAAGCTTCTTCACTGCCCGTGGTGCGCTCGCGTTGCGTCACGTCCAAGGCAGCGTCCAAGCTCAAGAATCGCCAACGTTCAATTCTTGATGGCTGACATGCGTGTTCATTCTATCTTTGAATTGAAATAATGAGAAATAAAGTTGATTTTGGTTGCATATGGCCTTGACTATACACCACTGGTTATTGTACTAAGATGTATGAAGTCAAGAAGCTACTACTACTGCTACTAGCTAGCTACATTGACAAGCTAGGTTCACAACGTAAAACAAAAGCAACTTGTGAAATTAGAGGATGGCACCAATTTAATGAGTACTTGAGAAAAACTGGACAAAAGCTAATGTACTTAGGTATAATTGATGAATATGGTACAATATTAAGCAAAATAGAATAAAGAAGCTCCTCCCCCTCTGCTCTGTATAGCAGGAAAAACGTTACATTGACATGACACTGATGGTAAGGCAAAGCAATGCGTATAGCGGAGCTGAAGAGTCAGCAGTCTATGGACAAGGTATGGCAGCAACCAAAGAACCCATGCTTTGGTTCTGTTTACCTGGCCACTGTTTCAAATGCTAATGTTTTAGCATTTGTGGCACAAATCCAATGTAGGTCAATGGTACCTATATTAGCATTTTTGCGCTTCATATCCAAATCATCTATAAGTAACAGTATTGAGTTACACAATCCATTTTTAGAGACTTCAGGATGATTTAAACATGAAGCGTAAAAATGCTAATATAGGTTCCATTGACTTGCATTAGATGCAAAAAAAAAAAATATTTGAAAAAGTGGCCAACAAAACCAATGCATGGGTTGCTGTCATACCTTGTCAATAGACTGCTTACAGGCTAAGGAAGCCAATGTCATTGTGTAATTTGGATGAACTATTCCTTCAACATTGAGGGGGGAATGTTCAAACATGTTTCACCTAGTGGTCAGAATCTGATAATATCTAGATGTAGGATGGGACATAAACCTAACAACTTCAATGACTAATTTCTCTGAACTGGGGAAAAAGAACATCACCAAATTTACTGGGAATACATTACATAAGATGAAGAAACAATACTCAGAGCCGCAGCTCCATACTACTTGTCAGACACAGAGAACTAATACTATATACTCATTGGTGGGGTGGGATTAGTGTGGGATGTGGGGGGTTCGTGGGTGGCTTTTGACCATTCCTTTGGATTCCTCATGTCTAACTCATTGTTAGCAAAATGTTCGGTCCAAATCGGATGTTATGTAATATAGTTATTGAATATTATATGAATCCTATAAATTAAAAATGGGCAATTTGGATGCAATCAATTAGCTTAATTTCTCAGATTTCAAATTATATTTCAACAAAATAATGCTGCAGGATTATTATTTCTAACAGGGGAAACGATTTCAGAACAATCAGATGGTGGGTGTCGAATTCCTCTTTCTTGCGCTTTTTGAGGTGGAACAGCCCTGGTGTCAAGGTCATGATGGACAGCAATGCATTAGGTGTTTGATCAATCAAAAATGAGTAGATCAGGCCTCCCGAGTGGCGCAGCGGTCTAAGGCACTGCATCGCAGTGCTAGAGGCGTTCGTACAGACCCGGGTTCATTCCCGGGCTGTGCCACAACCGGCCGTGGCCGGGAGTCCCATAGGACGGCGCACAATTGGCCCAGCGTCTTCCGGGTTAGGGGAGGGTTTAGCCGGGGGGGGGGGGGGGGGGGGGGGGCTTTACTTGGCTCATCGCGCTCTAGCGACTCCTTGTGGCGGGCCAGGTGCCTGCAGGCTGACCCTGGTCGCCAGTTGAACAGTGTTTCCTCCGACACAGTGCGGCTGGCTTCCGGGTGAAGCTGGCGGGTGTTAAGGAGAGCGGTTAGGCAGGTCATGTTTCAGAGGACGCATGAATCCACCTTAGTCTCTCCCAAGCCCGCTGGGAAGTTGCAGCGATGAGACAAGATCGAAATTGGGGAGAAAAAGGGGGTAAAATAAACAAATATGAGTAGACCTTTGAGCACAGCCTATGGCGGCTCAGTTTTGCTCCTTTCTCAGTGTCTTGCATTGTGGTCCGGCTGGATGATTTGAAAGTTGTTAAAAACGAAGCACAGCAAACATCACTAATCTTTAAGCAGACAACTTGATTCCACAATTATACACAACATATACAAACACCCAAACACAGAGACACACACTCAACAAAGACACAAACCTACAGACACACAAGCCCAGGTGAGAGCGAGGCAGGAGCGGAGCGGAGCTGGAGGGTGAAAGGCTAAGCAGCAAGTAGACAAACCAGCCTCAGGTCAGGAGAGAGCCAGCTAGCCGGCCGGCGGTCATGTTGGAAACCAAACCAACCCAACAACCAGGAAGCTAGAATCAAAACTAACCCTCTCGCCTCACTGCGGGGAGAGTCTCTCTTGATGGGATTTTTTTGTTATTATTCTGGCCCAGAATCAGTTCCCAATCAGCAGTTAGAGGGGGGGTTGTGAGGCTGTGGTGGGCAGGGGTTGGGGGTCGGTTTTGGGGTCAATGTCTGTTTGTGGGGTGGGCCGGGGGAGCAGCGGGCTGGTGAAGCGTCGTAGCTAGCAGGATTAACATGGCTCCCCATGGTGGCGTCATATCATATTGCATGCTTACCTGCTGCAGTCAGGCCCCCCTCCGCTCTGCCCTTCATCCCTCCTCCTCCTCCTCCTCCTGCTCCTCCTCCCGCTACCGCTCCGTCAGGGTAGACCCTGTCCCCCCTGTAGGGTTTGGGCCTGAAGGGAAAGTCTTTCTCTTTACCTTTGGAGCCTTTTGGCCGCCCTGCCGTCTTCTTCTTGGACTTGCTGTCTCCCTTCACCCCCAGTAAGGGGTGCACCTCTTGGATAGGGGGAGAATACACAGGTCAGGGTACTATTTCATGATTAAAAAGTAAAGTGTTCATATTGTGTGTTACTCTGACTCTCACCATCACTAGGCACCCCCTGTAGTTCGATGGTGGTGGTACGAGCCTTCTTTTTGGGCGGAGCTCCCTCTGAGGACGGCTGGCGCTTCTTGTCCCCGCTCCCTGTGTGGGCTGAACCATCTTCTGTGGGGGTGGTCTGGCCGGCTGCATCCGGAGGGGGACCAAATGGATTCTCCTCAGGGTCCTCTACCTCTGGAGCGATGGGCAGGTAGAGCAGGGCCTTGAAGTCCTCCAGCTCCTCATCACTAACACAGGGGGGGAATCAGAGACCACAATCAATATTATAATTGTATTACTATTAGACTTCTATTCATTTGCAATGCCTATAAGGCTGTCCCCATCGAAACACCTGTCTACCTTCATCATCAAACACACTTACCTGCTACAGAATGCTACGATGGGGTCAACAGAGGTCACATCCACCTCCTCATCCTCCGCAGCATCAGCACCTGAGACGCACACACAAATCAGTCCCTGACTAGTCGCAATGCATGGATGTGCCTGTGTGTGTGCGTGGCTGTGTGTGTGTGTGTGCCTGTGTGTGTGCGTGTGTGTGCCTGTGTGTGTGTGTGCCCGTGTGTGTGCGTGTGCATGCACATCTACCTGTCTGTTCAGGTTCACTTTTATCCTCATCCTCTATGTCAAACTCAGACTCTCTCTCCTCATACTCCACGTTCTCATCCAGCTCCTTGAAGTCTGGGGCGAACGCACTCCAGTTTTCCTGAACATAGAAACACAGTGTTGAGTTAATTAACTAACCCATTCCATCAGATTCACAACAATAACATCAATCCTCATCAGAACACATAGTTGTTGTTTATAATTCTGGTAATATGTGGAATCTTGTGGACTCGTGAATGATTCTGCATTCAACATTGCTTCATCGTTGTCTTGCAAAGGCAGTGGAATCACTCTCTGAAATCAAAACCTAGGTAGCCAAATCACAGAAGGTCCAGCACCAAGACCAGTTCCAGGGTGAAGAACTCAGGTAAAACCTGTATTGTGTGTCACTCACCACTTGGTTCTGAGCCCAGATGGACACCACTCCGCTGGAAATGGAGGCGATGATAGGCCGCACAGGGTGCCACTGCAGAGGTCAGGTTCATAGGTCAGGACAAGGTTAGTTCAAAGTTCATCAGCACAATGAGTTACTGTTAATTCTGTGACTCTCCAGTCCAGACAATTCAAAACAGAGGCACCACATCCTCCAGAAATGAGGCAAAAAATAGATAACTCCAGAGAATTAGCTAGTGAGAGGAAGAGGGCTAGAATAAGAAAGGTTTTGGGTGGTTCCTTACGGCCACATCCAGCAGGAGTTCTCCTCTGGTTCCATGGAGGATCTTCACCAGGTTACCGATGCTCTTCTCCCAGATGTACAGAGCATGCTGCCGGGCTGAACCAGCCACAATGTACTCCCCATCCCCAGAGAAACAACACCGCTTCCAGGGAGTCCTACAGAGAGAGGGGAAGGAGAGAAGGAGTGATGAGAGGGAAAGAGAAGAGGAGAGCGATGTATCAACGTGTTCATGTGTGTGGTGTGTGTGTGTGTTCACCTGTTGACCAGGTCCTGTAATTTTTGCATTGGCTCTGGCTCCCCGTCTCTCCCACATGTGAGAATCTCCCTCCCGTCATACACCCTGATGATTCTGTCTGCTGTGTTGATGAGGAAACAACTGGAGGGAGGAGGAGAAGAGAGGACAGAGTGGATCATGATCAGTCATTTGATGGAACTATTAACTATTCTCCATAAGAGGCACACAACAACCTTCTAAGCACCAGAATGATTTTCCACACAAACACAGTCCTATTGCCTTTCAGCCTTCACCAACACGCTGATTGGTTCCCTCTAAGTCCTCTCACCTGCCCTTGCGTGCAAACTCTATGGACTTGATGGCTGTGGTGTTGCTGGTCCCTGTCGTCACCCGAAACGATGCCACCAGATCCTGTGTGTCCGTGTTCAGCACCAGAATCTGCAGGGTCACATCAGTGAGAACAATCATCACACACATATATAATACATTTGGAAAGTATTCAGACCCCTTGACTTTTTCCACATTTTGTTACGTTACAGCCTTATTCAAAAATGAATTCAATCTTCTTTTTTTGTATCAATCCACACAAAACACCCCATAATGACAAAGCGAAAACAGGTTAAGAAATGTTTGCAAATGTATTGCAAAAAACAGAAATACCTTATTCACATAAGTATTCAGACCATTTGCTAGGAGACTCGAAATTGAGTTCAGGTGCATCCTGTTTCCATTGATCATCCTTGAGATGCTTCTACAACTTGATTGGAGTCCACCTGTGGTCAATCCCATTAATTGGACATGATTTGGAAAGGCACACACCTGTCTATATAAGGTCCCACAGTTGACAGTGCATGTCAGAGCAAAAACGAAGACATGAGGTTGAAGGAATTGTCCATAGAGCTCCGAGACAGGATTGTGTCGAGGCACAGATCTGGGGAAGGGTACCAAAAAATGCTGCAGCATTGAAGGTCCCCAAGAACACAGTGGCCTCCATCATTCTTAAATGGAAGAAGTTTCAAACCACCAAGACTAGAGCTGGCCGCCCGGCCAAACTGAGCAATAGGGGGAGAAGGGCCTTGGTCAGGGAGGTGATCAAGAACCTGATGGTCACACTGACAGAGCTCCAGAGTTCGTCTGTGGAGATGGGAGAACCTTCCAGAAGGACAACCATCTCTGCAGCACTCCACTAATCAGGCCTTTATGGTAGAGTGGCCAGACGGAAGTCACTCCTTAGTAAAAGGCACATGAGTTTGCCAAAAGGCCCCTAAAGGACTCTCAGACCATGAGAAACAAGATTCTCTGGTCTGATGAAACCAAGATTGAACTCTTTGGCCTGAATGCCATGCATCACATCTGGAGGAAACTTGGCACCATCTCTATGGTGAAGCATGGTGGTGGCAGCATCATGCTGTGGGGATGTTTTTCAGCGGCAGGGACTGGGAGACTAGTCAGGATTGAGACAAAGATGAACGGAGCAAAGTACAGAGATCCTTGATGACAACCTGCTCCAGAGTGCTCAGGACCTCAGACTGGGGCGAAGGTTCACCTTTCAACAGGACAACGACCCTAAGCACACAGCCAAGACAACGCAGGAGTGGCTTTGGGACAAAGGTTTTCAGTGACCTGAAAATTGCTGTGCAGCGATGCTCCCCATCCAACCTGACAGAGCTTGAGAGGATCTGCAGAGAAGAATGGGAGAAACTCCCCAAATATAGGTGTGCCAAGCTTGTAGCGTCATACCCAAGAAGACTCGAGGCTGTAATCGCTGCCAAAGGTGTTTCCACAAAGTACTGAGTAAAGGGTCTGAATACTTATGTAACTGTGATATTTCAGTTTTATTTTTTGCAAACATTTCTAAAAAACAGTTTTTGCTTTGTCATTATTGAGTATTGTGTGTAGCTTGATGAGGTCAGGTGAGGTGGGGGTGGGGGGGGGACAATGTAATCCATTTTAGAATAAGGCTGTAACGTAACAAAATGGGGAAAAAGTCAAGGGGTCTGAATACTTTCGGAATGCACTGTACAACCTACAAAGTCCTAAATAGATAAAGAATATTGCAAATCGTCTGAGCCACAAATAAATAAACCCAGGCCCCAGTGACCTCTGACCTTTCCCTTGGCGTTGCCGGTGTAGATGTACTCCCCCCTTCGGTCGAATGCCGCCACCACGTTCAGGTCAGAGTCGTCATCCACGGGCAGAACCACGTGTTTAGAGTCGGACAGGGTCAGCAGCACCGGAGCTGACTTCATAGGACACACCAGGACCTTGTCACTGAAACACGGGATAGATTGGGATTTAAAGGGGGGGATTTCCATATTTTTCCACACTGATATTCAATTTTTCCGTATCAGATACATACTCATAGGTCTGTGAAGTGGTACCGCAGTTTAAGGGTTGAGGTTAGGAGTGACAATCAATTAGGAAACATAAGAGGCTGAGGTGTAGGCTGAGCTAAGGTCGAGGTATTTATTGAGCTGGGGTATAGATATCCTCCCAGGTGGGTGGGATCGGTGGTACTAACTGTAGTTCAATGGATGAGGTCAGGAGTTATAATGAGTTAGAAAGGATAAGACCAGGCTGCGGTATAGGATGAGTTGGATATAGATAAACTCACAGGTCTCTGGGGTGGTACTGCAGTTTGAGGATGGGCGAGGGGAAACGGAACCTCTGGTCACAGTCTCCCGTTAGGACGTCCCATAGCGACACTATGTTATCTGTAGACGCACTCACCAGCTTGTGACCGTCTCGACTCCAACTGCAGACACACAGGGAAAGGTTTAGGATAGTTAAGATTCAGAACCACACTCAAAACAATTCACCACAATCAACACCTTTTGACAAGGGCTCCAGGCCCAAATGATGGGTTTATGAGTAAATAAAAGAAGAACATTCGAGCATAGTTTGCTGATTCTGAACAGTGTGTGTGCTACAGTGTTGGGGTCAATTCCATTTCAATTGCAATCAATTCATGAGGTAAACCAAATTGCAATTCCAACTCTTCCTAATTGAAAAGCATTGAAGAGAATTGGAATTTCAATGTACTTCCTGAATTGATTGGAATTAACTCCAACCCTGGTGTGCTGGCGTTTTCCCTTTCTTGTGACCGTGGTTTGCTTTCTCACCATAGTGAGCAGACTGGATGAATGTGAGCGCTGATGATCTTGGCGATGCCCCGTGTCAGGAAGTCCCAAATGACGATGCGTCCGTCGTTGCAACCCACCGCCAGAAGTGTGCCCCAGCGGTTAAAGGTGCATGTGAGAGCCATACTGATACAGTCCAGAGTGCCATCTGCCTCCTGTCAATGAGATAGCAACTGTATGTGAAGACACTCACAGACACAGATGTATAAATCAATGTTCTATTCTAAGGACTTGAGTAAGCATTAAGGCATAGCCATCCACTGTCTGTGTGGGAGAGGGGTGTGTGAGAGAGACGTGTTGACAAGTATGAAAGTATGAAAAAAGTACGAAAATGTATGTACTCAATACTGGAAGTCGCTCTGGATAAGAGCGTCTGCTAAATGACTCAAATGTTAAAGACAAGTAACAGGTAGAACAAGATTGGAATGACTTACCTCTGGATAGTTCTGCCCGAACGACTCTATAGAAGAAGAAAAAAGAATGTGGTTAGCATGTGGTTAGGTCTCTAGTACATCTAGACTGATTTAGGTAATATAACAGCTGGAAGATCACACAATCCACAGGCTAGCTAACGTTACGGACTGTTTACATCCTCCGCGTCCAAACGACAGTACCATACATACGAAGATCGTTCATTTGCTAATGGCTAACGTCTAATAGTAGTAGTTGCCTGCTATGTGCTGTGTGATTTCACCTTGTAGTTAAAACGTACGATTAACACAATATAAATAAATATATTTTATTTATCACTACTTATACTCAGACTGCCTTTGTATAGCGTTTGGCGTTCGTTAATTAGCATGCTAGTGCTGCCTAGCTACGATATCCTAGTTTACGTGCGGTCCTGCACCCAATAAATGATTGAAGAATTATAAATGACCCTTACCGAGCAACTCTAAATTCATCGCTGAACAATTCTGATAACACGAATATCAAAATAAACAGTCTTCCAGACGATTTATCCAAAACACAGCCGTTTAGCTATGTAGCTCTGTTGATAACAAGAGCGTGACTGGCGCCTAGCTAACGAAGGACCCCAAACAAAGTGATGTTGAAACTGCCCAAATAAAAATCTATACGGATTTTATCGTATGTTCAAAGTAAACAATTATGTTTTTGATTTTTGTACGTATGATTTCAGATACTTATTCCAAATCTGAATATATAAACGTGTAAGTTAGTTAATTCATAACATCCTCCATCAAGGCCGACACAGTTTCGCTCGTGGCCATGTTTTAGCAGGCAACTGCACTACACATTGATCTCGAAAATCCTACCACCCGTGATCATCCGGGTCTCTACAATGTAACCAATCACATAATACACGGAAAAACAGGGCGGGGTTTCAGGTTACAGATATTAAGTTATTTCATATAAAATAAAGATTTTCAACCTACAATGAAAAAATAAATGCCACGAAAACTACACAACAAATCATATCTTCTCCACCAAAAGCCTCTAAAAACTATAAAGTCAATAGTATCCAGCTGCAGCGCCTGTCAATAAAACTACCCTCACCGACAGAAGGGGAACCCCAGACATGTCACAGGGGCTATAACTCTGAAGCAGCCATTTACGACATTTCTCACCACCAAACGTACAGTCAATAACACAATAGAACATCTATATACAGTGTGTGCAAATGTAGTAAGTTATGGAGGTAAGGCAATAAATAGGCCATAGTGCAAAATTATTACAATTTAGTATTAACACTGGAGTGATAGATGTGCAGAAGATGATGTGCAAATAGAGATACTGGGGTGCAGATTAGCTAAATAAATAACAATATGGGGATGAGGTAGTTGGGTGGGCTAATTACAGATGGGCTGTGTACAGGTGCAGTGATCGGTAAGCTGCTCTGACAACTGATGCTTAAAGATAGTGAGGGAGATAAGTGTCTCCAGCTTCAGAGATTTTTGTAGTTTGTTCCAGTCATTTGCAGCAGAGAACTGGATGGAATGGCGGCCAAAGGAGGTGTTGGCTTTGGGGGTGACCAGTGAGATATAACTGCTGGAACGCATACTAGGGGTGGGTGTTGCTATGGTGACCAATGAGCTAAGATAAGGCGGGGATTTGCCTAGAAGAGATTTATAGATGACCTGGAGCCAGTGGGTTTGGCGACAAATATGTATGTATGGACAGCCAACGAGAGCGTACAGGTCACAATGGTGGGTAGTATATGGGGCTTTGGTGACAAAACGGATGGCACTGTGATAGACTACATCCAATTTGCTGAGTAGAGTGTTGGAAGCTATTTTGTAAATGACATCGCCGAAGTCAAGGATCGGTAGGATAGTCAGTTTTACGAGGGCATGTTTAGCAGCATGAGTGAAGGAGGCTTTGTTGCGAAATAGGAAGCTGATTCTAGATTTAACTTTGGATTGGAGATGCTTAATGTGAGTCTGTAAGGAGAGTTTACGGTCTAACCAGACACCTAGGTATTTGTAGTTGTCCACATATTCTAAGTCAGACCTGCCGAGAGTAGTGATTCTAGTTGGGCGGGCGGATGCAAGCTGCGTTCGATTGAAGAGTATGCATTTACTTTTACTAGCATTTAAGAGCAGTTGGAGGCCACGGAAGGAGTTTTGTATGGCATTGAAGCTCGTTTGGAGGTTTGTTAACACAGTGTCCAATGAAGGGCCAGATGTATACAAAATGGTGTCGTCTGCGTAGAGGTGAATCTGAGAGTCACCAACAGCAAGAGCGACATCATTGATATACACAGAGAATAGAGTCGGCCCGAGAATTGAATCCTGTGGCAACCCCATAGAGACTGCCAGAGGTCCAGACAACAGGCCCTCCGATTTGACACATTGAACTCTATCTGAGAAGTAGTTGGTGAACCAGGCGAGGCAGTCATTTGAGAAACCAAGGCTATTTAGTCTGCCAATAAGAATGCGGTGATTGACATAGTCAAAGGCCTTGGCCAGGTGGATGAAGACGGCTGCACAGTACTGTCTTTTATTGATCACGGTTATTTTATCGTTTAGGACCTTGAACGTGGCTGAGGTAGACCCATGACCAGCTCGGAAACCAGATTGCATAGCGGAGAAGGTACGGTGGGATTCGAAATGGTCGGTGATCTGTTTGTTAACTTGGCTTTCAAATACTTTCGAAAGGCAGGGCAGGATGGATATAGGTCTGTAACAGTTTGGATCTAGAGTGTCACCCCCTTTGAAGAGGGGATGACCGCGGCAGCTTTCCAATCTCTGGGGATCTCAGACGATACGAAAGAGAGGTTGAACAGGCTAGTAATAGGGGTTGCAACAATTTCTGCGGCTAATTTTAGAAAGAGGGTCCAGATTGTCTAGCCCAGCTGATTTGTAGGGGTCCAGATTTTGCAGCTCTTTCAGGACATCAGCTATCTGAATTTGGGTGAAGGAGAAGCGGGGGGCGGGCATGGGCAAGTTGCAGCGGAGGGTGCAGAGCTGGTGGCCGGGGTAGGGGTAGCCAAGTGGAAAGCATGGCCAGCCGTAGCAAAATGCTTATTGAAATTCTCGATTATCGTAGATTTATCGGTGGTGACAGTGTTTCCTAGCCTCAGTGCAGTGGGTAGCTGGGAGGAGGTGCTCTTATTCTCTATGGACTTTACAGTGTCCCAGAACATTTTGGAGTTAGTGCTACAGGATTCAAATTTCTGTTTGAAAAACCTAGCCTTTGCTTTCCTAACTGATTGTGTATATTGGTTAACGCAGTAGGCCTGTTAGCAAAGGAAATTAGAAAAGGACGAAATGAAAGGAGGCTAGGAGAGGAATCAGAAAAGGAAAGGGAGCGAGGAAAGAAAAGGAGTTCACATGTATGTGGTAGGGATTACCACAGCCAGTAGAGAGGAAAGGAAGCGAAGCTAGGAAATGAGGAACGGAAAATAGGAAAGAAGGAAAGGGAGCAAGGAAAGGAATCTAGGAAATAAAATAAAATCACATGTATGTGATAGAGATTAACCACGGCCAGTAGATAGTATTGGTTTTAGTGACAGGCTAGTTTTAATCACAGACTATTCTACGAGGCTGCAGCTAGATGCATCTAAAAAAAAAGCACTCTCGATCGTTCCACGCCGCAAAAACGTGAGTACAGGTCTACTGCGTTAACCAATTGGATTTCTAGCTTTTTTGTTGCTTGTTGGGGCGTGTCGCTGGGAGCATAGACGTTTCGAACTAGACGGTAAAGGCATTGTGCTTTGAAACAGACATCATATCTATGAACTATATTTCTATATCATGTGTTGTTCACTGGAACATTGGCCATGCGCAGTAGCTAGAAGAGTTATAAACAGTCTTGTTCTAGAACTGGTAGAACTAACTGTACCCGACAAGAAAACCCAGACAGCTTGATTTACACTTTGAGAGACCACCCGTGGAATTAAACGACCCTGTCAACGGTAATGACATAAGAGACACATCCTTGACAACACATTACAGGTAAGAGATGGAGATTGTTGCTTATCATAATGTAGGTCTCTCTTCTTCCATGTAAGGTAGGGGCACATATATTATACTTACATAAGGTAAATGTAACTGGCCTGATTCTGAGGCTGTGCATTGGCAAATCCTGACCTTAGAATTATACTGAGATAATTGGCTTTAAAATTCAGAACTCTCATTGGTTTGAATGGTGTGAGCAATTATATATATATTTTTTTAATGAATTGGTGTATTTAAAGTAGGCTACTATGTACAGAACAAGGCTGCCAATAACTGAAATTGGCAAAGATGCAGATAGAACCTTATAATTCCAAGCTATCAAAATAACAAAGTTGTCTGACCATTGATACGGTATAACATTTGTATGTATGTGTGTCTGAGCTTTCTGAACAATTTTGTGCAGTTATGCAATGTATATCATGTTGATGATGCTTGTGGTCTAACAGTTTTGATGTTATGGTGACCAAATCGACCTACAGTTGAAGTCGGAAGTTTACATACATTTAGGTTGGAGTCATTAAAACTAGTTTTTCAACCACTACACAAATTTCTTGTTAACAAACTATAGTTTTGGCAAGTCGGTTAGGACATCTACTTTGTGCATGACACAAGTAATTTTTCCAACAATTGTTTACAGACAGATTATTTCAGTTATAATTCACTGTATCACAATTCCAGTGGGTCAGAAGTTGACTGTGCCTTTAAACAGCTTGGAAAATTCCAGAAAATGATGTCATGGCTTTAAAAGCTTCTGATAGGCTAATTGACATCATTTGAGTCAATTGGAGGTGTACCTGTGGATGTATTTCAAGGCCTACCTTCAAACTCAGTGCCCCTTTGCTTGACATCATGGGAAAATCCAAAGAAATCAGCCAAGACCTCAGAAACAAAATTGTAGACCTCCACAAGTCTGGTTCATCCTTGGGAGCAATTTCCAAATGCCTGAAGGTACCACGTTCATCTGTACAAACAATAGTACGCAAGTATAAACACCATGGGACCACGCAGCCGTCATACCGCTCAGGAAGGAGACGCGTTCTGTCTCCTAGAGATGAACTTACTTTTGTGCGAATCAATCCCAGAACAACAGCAAAGGACCTTGTGAAGCTGCTGGAGGAAACAGGTACAAAAGTATCTATATCTACAGTAAAACGAGTCCTATATCGACATAACCTGAAACCCGCTCAGCAAGGAAAAAGCCACTGCTCCAAAACCGCCATAAAAAAGCCAGCCTATGGTTTGCAACTGCACATGGGGACAAAGATCGTACTTTTTGGAGAAATGTCCTCTGGTCTGATGAAACAAAAATAGAACTGTTTGGCCATAATGACCATCGTTATGTTTGGAGTAAAAAGGGGGGAGCTTGCAAGCCGAAGAACACCATCCCAACCGTGAAGCACGGGGGTGGCAGCATCATGCTGTGGGGGTGCTTTGCGGCAGGAGGGACTGGTGCACTTCACAAAATAGATGGCATCATGAGGAAGGAAAATAATGTGGATATATTGAAGCAACACCTCAAGACATCAGTCAGGAAGTTAAAGCTTGGTTGCAAATGTGTCTTCCAAATGGACAATGACCCCAAGCATACTTCCAAAGTTGTGGAAAAATGGCTTAAGGACAACAAAGTCAAGGTATTGGAGTGGCCATCACAAAGCCCTGACCTCAATCCTATAGAAAATGTGTGGTCCAAACTGAAAAAGTGTCTGCGAGCAAGGAGGCCTTCAAACCTGACTCCGTTACACCAGCTCTGTCAGGAGGAATGGGCCAAAATTCACCCAACTTATTGTGGAAGCTTGTGGAAGGCTACCCGAAATGTTTGACCCAAGTTAAACAATTTTAAAGGCAATGCTACCAAATACTAATTGAGTGTATGTAAACTTCTGACCCACTGGGAATGTGATGAAAGAAATAAAAGCTGAAATAAATAATTCTGTCTACTATTATTCTGACATTTCACATTCTTAAAATAAAGTGGTGATCCTAACTGACCTAAAACAGGGAATTTTTACTAGGATTAAATGTTAGGAATTGTGAAAAACTGAGTTTAAATGTATTTGGCTAAGGTGTATGTAAACATCCGACTTCAACTGTACATTGTGTCATAAGTTTGCCTTCCACAAGCTGTACTGTCTGAGTATGATAGAACTTTATTCAAAAGTTGAGAAACTAAGTGTATTGACTATTTTTGGAAGTTGATAAAAAATATAATGGCGATATTTATTTATATTGCTTTCATGTATTATATTTTTCTGATTTGTCCGCAAATTGCTTTTGATGAGATCATACTTTTTTTGTTAGAAAAAGGCAAATAATTTGTTTTCATAAGTCAAACTAATTGGGAGACCAGAGATTTGAAGCAGTGCTTTGCTTGGTTTAGGCTAGTTGTACTGTGTCAATCCCATTTGACTATCAGCTCTATACAGAAATACGATAATCAATTTAGAAAATAATTAAAGGGAAATTGGCATTTTATAACTTGTTAGAATTCTAAAAAATTAATAACGGAAAAGTGGTGCGTGCATATGTATTCACCCCCTTTGCTATGATTCCCCTAAATAAGATCTGGTGCAACCAATTACCTTCAGAAGTCACATAATTAGTTAGATTGCACACAGGTGGACTTTATTTACAGTGGGGGGAAAAAAGTATTTAGTCAGCCACCAATTGTGCAAGTTCTCCCACTTAAAAAGATGAGAGAGGCCTGTAATTTTCATCATAGGTACACATCAACTATGACAGACAAAATTAGATTTTTTTTCTCCAGAAAATCACATTGTAGGATTTTTTATTAATTTATTTGCAAATTATGGTGGAAAATAAGTATTTGGTCAATAACAAAAGTTTCTCAATACTTTGTTATATACCCTTTGTTGGCAATGACACAGGTCAAACGTTTTCTGTAAGTCTTCACAAGGTTTTCACACACTGTTGCTGGTATTTTGGCCCATTCCTCCATGCAGATCTCCTCTAGAGCAGTGATGTTTTGGGGCTGTCGCTGGGCAACACAGACTTTCAACTCCCTCCAAAGATTTTCTATGGGGTTGAGATCTGGAGACTGGCTAGGCCACTCCAGGACCTTGAAATGCTTCTTACGAAGCCACTCCTTCGTTGCCCGGGCGGTGTGTTTGGGATCATTGTCATGCTGAAAGACCCAGCCACGTTTCATCTTCAATGCCCTTGCTGATCGAAGGAAGTTTTCACTCAAAATCTCACGATACATGGCCCCATTCATTATTTCCTTTACACAGATCAGTCGTCCTGGTCCCTTTGCAGAAAAACAGCCCCAAAGCATGATGTTTCCACCCCCATGCTTCACAGTAGGTATGGTGTTCTTTGGATGCAACTCAGCATTCTTTGTCCTCCAAACACGACGAGTTGAGTTTTTACCAAAAAGTTATATTTTGGTTTCATCTGACCATATGACATTCTCCCAATCCTCTTCTGGATCATCCAAATGCACTCTAGCAAACTTCAGACGGGCCTGGACATGTACTGGCTTAAGCAGGGGGACACGTCTGGCACTGCAGGATTTGAGTCCCTGGCGGCGTAGTGTGTTACTGATGGTAGGCTTTGTTACTTTGGTCCCAGCTCTCTGCAGGTCATTCACTAGGTCCCCCCGTGTGGTTCTGGGATTTTTGCTCACCGTTCTTGTGATCATTTTGACCCCACGGGGTGAGATCTTGCGTGGAGCCCCAGATCGAGGGAGATTATCAGTGGTCTTGTATGTCTTCCATTTCCTAATAATTGCTCCCACAGTTGATTTCTTCAAACCAAGCTGCTTACCCATTGCAGATTCAGTCTTCCCAGCCTGGTGCAGGTCTACAATTTTGTTTCTGGTGTCCTTTGACAGCTCTTTGGTCTTGGCCATAGTGGAGTTTGGAGTGTGACTGTTTGAGGTTGTGGACAGGTGTCTTTTATACTGATAACAAGTTCAAACAGGTGCCATTAATACAGGTAACAGGTGGAGGACAGAGGAGCCTCTTAAAGAAGAAGTTACAGGTCTGTGAGAGCCAGAAATCTTGGTTGTTTGTAGGTGACCAAATACTTATTTTCCACCATAATTTGCAAATAAATTCATTAAAAATCCTACAATGTGATTTTCTGGATTTTTTTCTTCTCAATTTGTCTGTCATAGTTGACGTGTACCTATGATGAAAATTACAGGCCTCTCTCATCTTTTTAAGTGGGAGAACTTGCACAATTGGTGGCTGACTAAATACTTTTTCCCCCCCACTATAAGTATCACATGATCTCAGTATATATACACCTGTTCTGAAAGACCCCAGAGTCTGCAACACCACTAAGCAAGGGGCACCACCAAGCAAGCGGCAACATGAAGACAAAGGAGCTCTCCAAACAGGTCAGGGACAAAGTTGTGGAGAAGTACAGATCAGGGTTGGGTTCTAAAAAAATATCAAAAACTTTGAACATCCCACGGAGCACCATTAAATCCATTATAATTTTTTTAAAAGAATATGGCACCACAACAAACCTGCCAAGAGAGGGCCGCCCACCAAAACTCACGTACCAGGCAAGGAGGGCATTAATCAGAGAGTCAACAAAGAGACCAAAGATAACCCTGAAGGAGCTGCAACGCTCCACAGCGGAGATTGGAGTATCTCTCCATAGGACCACTTTAAGCCGTACACTCCACAGAGCTGGGCTTTATGGAAGAGTGGCCAGAAAAAAAAACATTGCTTAAAGAAAAAAATAAGCAAACACGTTTGGTGATTCCCCAAACATATGGAAGAAGGTACTCTGGTCAGATGATACTAAATTTGAGCTTTTTGGCCATCAAGGAAAACGCTATGTCTGGCGCAAACCCAACACCTCTCATCACCCCAAGAACACCATCCCCACAGTGAAGCATGGTGGTGGCAGCATCATGCTGTGGGGATGTTTTTCATCGGCAGGGACTGGGAAACTGGTCAGAATTGAAGGAATGATGGATGGCGCTAAATACAGGGAAATTCTTGAGGGAAACCTGTTTCAGTCTTCCAGAGATTTGAGACTGGGACGGAGGTTCACCTTCCAGCAGGACAATGACCCTAAGCATACTGCTAAAGCAACACTTGAGTCGTTTAAAGGGAAACATTTATATGTCTTGGAATGGCCTAGTCAAAGCCCAGACCTCAATCCAATTGAGAATCTGTGGTATGACTTAAAGATTGCTGTACACCAGCGGAACCCATCCAACTTGAAGGAGCTGGAGCAGTTTTGCCTTGAAGAATGGGCAAAAATCCCAGTGGCTAGATGTGCCAAGCTTATAGAGACATACCCCAAGAGACTTGCAGCTGTAATTGCTGCAAAAGGTGGCTCTACAAAGTATTGACTTTGGGGGGGTGAATAGTAATGCACGCTCAAGTTTTCTGTTTTTTTGTCTTATTTCTTGTTTATTTCACAAGAAAAAATATTTTGCATCTTCAAAGTGGTAGGCATGTTGTGTAAATCAAATGATACAAACCCCCCAAAAAATCATTTTTATTTCCAGGTTGTAAGGCAACAAAATAGGAAAAATACCAAGGGGGGTGAATACTTTCGCAAGCCACTGTAATTTTCCAACTGAACATGTAAATGTACATTTGCATTCCAATAAGCATTACATTGTGAACAATGCATTTTTGAATTGTGTAATATGAATATTATGCTTCTAACTTCCAGTGTATTTAATAATAATTCTCTGCTAAATCTCTTTAAAGTCTTTAACTCTTTAAATGTTTTAAATGTGACCCATTCTCTAAAGTACATACTGTGCTTCAAAACATTTAAAATTTCCTGTCTTTTTTCCAGGCTCTGTTTTCGAACATGGCCAAGAACTCCATCCACTGGTTCCGGAAGGGACTGCGTCTCCATGACAACCTGGCCCTGCTGGAGGCCCTGCGTGATTCAGACACGGTGCACTGTGTCTACTTCCTGGGCCCCTTGTTCGCTGGCTCCTCCAACCTGGGGGTCAACAAGGTGGAGGTGAGGAACAACCGTATCTATTCATCCATCAACCAACCAGTCAATACGATTCTATTGTCCCTGTAGATTGAAATGCATTGTGCATGCTCGGAATGCTGATGTGTTATTAACATACATACAATTCTATGGTTATTACAGTGTTGTTATAGTGTTATTACAGAGTGGGTGTTGTAGGCTGGGTTGGACTCTGGTCCATTGGAATTCAAGAAGTAAATTGAAAGTCTAATTCAAGATTTGTAAAAATCTTTATTGAAAATCAATGACACTGAATTGGCCCAGACCCAGGTGTTCTAGTGGTTATGGTTTTGTGGTGGTTCTCAGAACAGCTCCCATCACACAGTTGCCACTATCTGACCTTGCTAAAGAGGATGGTAGTATGGATTGATCAGATGTGCCAGTGGAAAGCCTGGATCTTGACATCACCAGGTAGTAGTTTGGACCAGCAGAGTAAGGATTGCAGCAGTAGGCCTATATTGTAATTATGTCTGCTTTCAAGATGAAATTAGTGACTTCTGTATGTAGCTAATGTATTATGGTAGGTTATGAAAGTTTGTGGATCCTATGTTTGAGTATTCTCTGGGTATCTACTAGGCTATTCTCTTTTAAACATCAGTTGTTGGCAAGCATGTGAAATAGTGTAGTGGTGCTTATTCCTTGGTCCTCTTAACTTAGAGGAGGAATACTAATGGGATGAATAGCAGGCAAAAGCAACAGCTTCTCTTTTCCAGTCACAGTTAAGAGAGTATTATTACTGTAATAGACACAGAAAAGATTTCCCTCCCAAGTATTTACTATTGCCTTGGCCAGACAAATGTTATTTTCACTTTCTGTACAATTTAATTAATCCCCTCTGGGACATTTTGTCTGGCATCTTTCAAAAACCAAAGAGTGTAGAGCCAAGGCCTGTAAAATGGTGTCGTTCAGGCAGGGAGCCGGTTTAGTGTGCCGAAAGAGAGTTCCGTTTCCTGAGTCAGTGGTTGCTATTGGGATGACCTACTTTACAGCAGGCTGTGCTGTGGCAGAGCGGCCTAACTGGATCTCTAACTGCTCAAGCAGTAGGAGGCGGTAGTGGCCCTCAGATCTGCAACTGGATTAGCCATCTTTTCAACTGTAACACCTATGCTTTTTGCCCTTTTTTATTTGAATGTTATTTTTTAAGGAAAAGTGCTAGTGTGAAGCAATCGACGGATATAGCAGGCCTATCGGGTTATCTTGTCTCTCTCCACAGTGTGTTTATCATTGTCTTCAAAGGTGTTCAGGTGTTTATTCAAAACACTAGACAAACACACCATGTACCCCCTGCTGCTCTCCTCTCAGGGGGCTGTTCTTAAGTTTAGAAGAAGGATCACAGCATTTTCTGATGACTACATTCAGTCAGTCAGTCAGTCAGTCACCTGGGATACTATGCTGTGATGCTGCTAACTCAACCATGTAACCATGGCACAGTTTCATCCCAAATATTACATCTGCAACAATGAGGACTGAATCTGTGCCTCAATGACATTTCTTACTGCATAAATGCTAGAAAGGGGATGTAAATGCGAAAAGGCAAATGTGAGCTTCAGACAGTTTGTGTGAAATAATAGTTGTTGAAACCTGCATTGTTATACATGCAGTGATGTAACAATTATAATATGATCATTACATCACCATCATAACATAACTTATGGACATATGATCAAAGGGCGTCGGTCTGCTTCTTGGAAAGTGATTCAGAGTTGATGTATTTATATCCTGATCCAACAAACATGTTCTTATTAATTATAATGTATTATTTAGTGGGACTTATTAGGGTTTTATCCAATCAAACATGGTGTCAGGTCTAAGTTGTAAACATGAGTCTCTTCACACTCTGAGAATGCCCATAAAGCAGTGTCCTCTCCAGCATGGCCATATAGTTATAGTCGTCGTCCCTCCTGTGTTTCAGGTTCCTGCTGCAGTGTCTGGAAGATCTAGACGCAAGCCTTCGGAAGCTCAACTCCCGTCTGTTTGTGATCCAAGGCCAGCCAGCCAACATCTTCCCCTGACTCTTTAAGGTGAGACCCCATCACCCCTTTCCCCTCCACCTCACCCCTACCCTCTCCCCAGCCTCCCTCACCCCCTCACCCCCAGGGACAGCAAATATCCACCATACTAAATCAGTGTTTGCTGACCATTTTAAAGTCAATCAGTATATCTTGTATTAACCCCAGTGTGTGTCTGCTGTGTCCTGACCTGTCCTCTCAGGACTGGAACATCTCCCGGCTGACATTTGAGTGTGACTCTGAGCCGTTCAGTAAGGAGAGGGATGCAGCCATTAAGAAGCTGGCCACAGAGGCTGGAGTAGAGGTCGTCAGCAGGACCTCACACACTCTACGACCTGGACAAGTGAGTAGGACACCCGGATGACATCCTCCTCTTCTCTCTGTAGGATCATAGAGCTGAATGGGGGTCTTCCTCCTCTCACCTTCAAGCATTTCCAGACGTTGGTGGGCTCCATGCCGCCCCCCAATGCCCCAGTAGAGGCTCTGTCCCAGGCCAGCATGGGTCGATGTGTCACCCCCATCTCAGACAACCACAGGGACAAGTACGGAGTACCCCTATTGGAGGAGCTGGGTAAGACACCGACTCTTACTTATTGCAGGGTACTATCACATAAGATTGCTCCTATTTTGCTCATGTTTACATTCTCCTCTCTCTTCTACCCTCAGGTGAAGACGAACGGCAGCCCCCCCATCTCTCTGCTGTGGCGTGAGTTCTTCTACACGGCCGCCACTAACAACCCCCTCTTCGACAAAATTGAGGGGAACCACATCTGTATCCGCATCCCCTGGGACCGTAACGCAGAGGCGCTGGCCAAATGGGCCGAAGCCAAGACGGGCTTCCCCTGGATCGACGCCATCATGACTCAGCTGAGGCAGGAAGGCTGGATCCACCACTTGGCCAGACACGCTGTGAAGAGGGCATGAAGGTAGAGAGAGGGGTGGGAAGAATCAGAAGAGATACATTGATAGATTAATTTGTATTTTAAAAATAATTACTAAAGGATTTCACCCCAAATACAGTATAAATGTGTGAACGGTGTTAGAGTTATAATGTAGTGTCAACCCACTAACAGAGGGGGTGAGTTAGAAACTGCTGAGACAAACATTCCAGGAGGAAGGAGACTTAGAAGTATTTAAACATTCTGTACTGTGGAAATATACAGACCGCCTAAAGGTGGGCGGAGCAAAGTGCCTTTGTGTGAAGTGGTATAAAAGCTGTATATGTGTTTGGGCGGCAGAGCTCTCCATGATTAAATAATACAGATCATTCTTGCTGGTTGTGGACCTTTGTTTAATTCATGATTAAAACCAGAGCCTTACACCCTCTGGGAATTATTCAGAGCATTAAGTTTAATTAGAGAGATAAATTCTCATGACATACATATTATGTGTGAATGACTGTTGTTGTTCTGTGTGTGTCTGTCAGGTGTTTGAGGAGCTGCTACTGGATGCAGACTGGAGTGTGAACGAAGGCAGCTGGTTGTGTCATTCCTGCAGTTCCTTCTTCCAGCAGTTCTTCCACTGCTACTGCCCTGTGGGCTTCGGACGAAAAATAGATCCCGAAGGAGACTTCATTAGGTTGGTATATCTACACGCACGCACACACACCCACACACACAAGACGCACATACACACACACACACACACACACAGTATCTATCAAGTCATACATTAGCAAGGCTGTTCTGTCTGACTACTGTCTGTATGTTGTGCTGAACCAACTCCTCTGGCAGTTGTGACGAGGCACTGAGTTTTAATTGCTCCCTCTGCTTGCAGACGCTACTTACCTGTCCTGAAAGACTTGCCAGACAAGTACATCTACGACCCTTGGAACGCCCCCATAGAGGTGCAGCGGGCGGCCAAGTGTGTGGTCGGGGTGGACTACCCCAAACCCATGGTGAACCATGCAGAGGCCAGCCGACTCAACATAGAGAGGCAAATCTACCAGCAGCTGTCCAGATACAGAGGACTCAGTAAGTATTTTTCTCCCTCCCTTGCTTTGTATTGAACTCTCTCTCACTCTCTCTCTCTCATTTCTTTTTCACTCTCTTCCTATCACCTGCCCACTCTCTCTCTTTCTCTCGCTCTCTTTCACTCTCTGAATCTCTCTTGCTTTCTGTCTGTCTCGCTATCGCTCTCTTTCTCACACCTGATCATTCATTATAACTCGTGTCTCTCTCCTAATAGGCTTACTAGCAGCTGTGCCAACCAGTCCCATTGAGGATCTGAATGCGGTGGCATCGCCCTCTACTGGTAGAAAATACAGTGTGCTCAACGGCCATCATGGTGAGCAAGGCTCATAGCAAGGCTCATTTGCCTAAACCTCCTTAGATACTATTCATACATTATCCCAAATATTATCACACCACGACTGCAAAGTGAGCACACTCCTCTACCCTCCTCTGAACCTCCCCTCTCCCTCTCTTCTCCTCTATCCAGGCCGTAGTAGAGAAAACAGAAGTGTAATAGTGAACGGTGAGAAGCTGCCGGGACTCAGTGGAGTGAGACCACTACCTGGACCAACATACACTCACAGTAAGTCTAGATACAGTATATAATATCTGACTGGACACAGACTGGTCACTTACAGTGTTATGTAGAGGAGGAAATTCTTATGGGCCTATTTCAGTTTGCCTCTTGGTCACTGCAGGCTGTGGAATGGCGCACAGAGAGCAGGCACGATCGTCCAATCAGCAACTCTGTCGGACAGGATGTGCCCATGAGTTTGCTGTGCCTCAGTATCCAGGTCGTCTGGCCCGGGACGGGGCTGGGAAGAGGGGGCGGGAGTCGGAACAGGAAGTGGGTAACGACTTTCCGGCCCCCGCCTTCAAGGTGCAGCGACACCACAACCACGTAAGTCAGGGGTCAATGTGTGTGTTTACGTTCTGTTTTCTAAAGTCTATGTTATGTACCTGGGGGGATGTCACAAAGAATGATCGATAAGTTACAAAATAGTCTGAAATATTCATATTTCTGAGTTCATAAAGATAGAACTTTAGGAGCATAGTAAAACAGACTCAATATTATCAGTTTATCAGTGATCCACCTTTGTGATACTATAAACCCCTCTGGGATTTACAGTTGAAGTCGGAAGTTTACATACACTTAGGTTGGAGTCATTAAAACTTGTTTTTCAACCACTCCACAAATTTCTTGTTAACAAACTATAGTTTTGGCAAGTCGGTTAGGGCATCTACTTTGTGCATGACATAAGTAATTTTTCCAACAATTGTTTACAGACAGATTATTTCACTTATAATTCACTGTATCACAATTCCAGTGGGTCAGAAGTTTACATACACTAAGTTGACTGTGCCTTTAAACAGCTTGGAAAATTCCAGAAAATGATGTCATGGCTTTAGAAGCTTCTGATAGGCTAATTGACATAATTTGAGTCAATTGGAGGTGTACCTGTGGATGTATTTCAAGGCCTACCTTCAAACTCAGTGCCTCTTTGCTTGACATCATGGGAAAATCAAAAGAAATCAGCCAAGTCCTCAGAAAAAAGTCTGGTTCATCCTTGGGAGAAATGTCCAAATGCCTGAAGGTACCACGTTCATCTGTACAAACAATAGTATGCAAGTATAAACACCATGGGACCATGCAGCCGTCATACCGCTCAGGAAGTAGACGCGTTCTGTCTCCTAGAGATGAACTTACTTTGGTGCAAAAAGTGCAAATCAATCCCAGAACAACAGCAAAGGACCTTGTGAAGATGCTGGAGGAAACAGGTACAAAAGTATCTATACAGTGAGGGAAAAAAGTATTTGATCCCCTGCTGATTTTGTACGTTTGCCCACTGACAAAGAAATGATCAGTCTATAATTTTAATGGTAGGTTTATTTGAACAGTGAGAGACAGAATAACAACAAAAAAATCCAGAAAAACGCATGTCAAAAATGTTATTAATAGATTTACATTTTAATGAGGGAAATAAGTATTTGACCCCTCTGCAAAACATTACTTAGTACTTGGTGGCAAAACCCTTGTTGGTAATCACAGAGGTCAGACGTTTCTTGTAGTTGGCCACCTGGTTTGCACACATCTCAGGAGGGATTTTGTCCCACTCCTCTTTGCAGATCTTCTCCAAGTCATTAAGGTTTCGAGGCTGACGTTTGGCAACTCGAACCTTCAGCTCCCTCCACAGATTTTCTATGAGATTAAGGTCTGGAGACTGGCTAGGCCACTCCAGGACGTTAATGTGCTTCTTCTTGAGCCACTCCTTTGTTGCCTTGGCCGTGTGTTTTGGGTCATTGTCATGCTGGAATACCCATCCACGACCCATTTTCAATGCCCTGGCTGAGGGAAGGAGGTTCTCACCCAAGATTTGACGGTACATGGCCCCGTCCATTGTCCCTTTGATGCGGTGAAGTTGTCCTGTCCCCTTAGCAGAAAAACACCCCCAAAGCATAATGTTTCCACCTCCATGTTTGATGGTGGGGATGGTGTTCTTGGGGTCATAGGCAGCATTCCTCCTCCTCTAAACACGGCGAGTTGAGTTGATGCCAAATAGCTCCAATTTGGTCTCATCTGACCGTAATATTTTCACCCAGTTCTCCTCTGAATCATTCAGATGTTCATTGGCAAACTTCAGACGGGCATGTATATGTGCTTTCTTGAGCAGGGGGACCTTGCGGGCGCTGCGGGATTTCAGTCTTTCACGGCGTAGTGTGTTACCAATTGTTTTCTTGGTGACTATGGTCCCAGCTGCCTTGAGATCATTGACAAGATCCTCCCGTGTAGTTCTCCGGCTGATTCCTCACCGTTCTCATGATCATTGCAACTCCACGAGGTGAGGTCTTGCATGGAGCCCCAGGCCGAGGGAGATTGACAGTTATTTTGTGTTTCTTCCATTTGCGAATAATCACACCAACTGTTGTCACCTTCTCACCAAGTTGCTTGGCGATGGTCTTGTAGCCCATTCCAGCCTTGTGTAGGTCTACATTCTTGTCCCTGACATCCTTGGAGAGCTCTTTGGTCTTGGCCATGGTGGAGAGTTTGGAATCTGATTGATTGATTGCTTCTGTGGACAGTTGTCTTTTATACAGGTAACAAGCTGAGATTAGGAGCACTCCCTTTAAGAGTGTGCTCCTAATCTCAGCTCATTACCTGTATAAAAGACACCTGGGAGCCAGAAATCTTTCTGATTGAGAGGGGGTCTCTCACTGTTCAAATAAACCTACCATTAAAATTATAGACTGATCATTTCTTTGTCAGTGGGCAAACGTACAAAATCAGCAGGGGATCAAATACTTTTTTCCATCACTGTATCCACAGTAAAATGAGTCCTATATCGACATAACCTGAAAGGCCGCTCAGCAAGGAAGAAGCCACTGCTCCAAAACCGCCATAAAAAAGCCAGCCTACGGTTTGCAACTGCACATGGGGACAAAGATCGTACTTTTTAGAGAAATGTCCTCTGGTCTGATGAAACAAAAATAGAACTGTTTGGCCGTAATGACCATCATTATGTTTGGAGGGAAAAGGGGGTGCTTGCAAGCCGAAGAACACCATCCCAATCGTGAAGCACGGGGGTGGCAGCATCATGCTGTGGGGGTGCTTTGACTGGTGCACTTCACAAAATAGATGGCATCATGAGGAAGGAAAATTATGTGGATATATTGAAGCAACAAATCTCAAGACATCAGTCAGGAAGTTAAAGCTTGGTCACAAATGGGTCTTCCAAATGGACAATGACCCCAAGCATACTTCCAAAGTTGTGGCAAAATGGCTTAAGGACAACAAAGTCAAGGTATTGGAGTGGCCATCACAAAGCCCTAACCTCAATCCTATAGAAATGTGTGGGCAGAACTGAAAAAGCGTGTGCGAGCAAGGAGGCCTACAAACCTGACTCAGGTACACCAGCTCTGTCAGGAGGAATGGGCCAAAATTCACCCAACTTATTGTGGGAAGCTTGTGGAAGGCTACCCGAAACGTTTGACCCAAGTTAAACAATTTAAAGGCAATGCTACCAAATACTAATTGAGTGTATGTAAACTTCTGACCCACTGGGAATGTGATGAAAGAAATAAAAGCTGAAATAAATCATTCTCTCTACTATTATTCTGACATTTCACATTTTTAAAATAAAGTGGTGATCCTAACTGACCTAAGACAGGGAATTTTTACTAGGATTAAATGTCAGGAATTGTGAAAGACTGAGTTTAAATGTATTTGGCTAAAGTCCCTGAGACGTCTTAGTTTTGAGATTTGCGATCTCAAAGATTTACTATTTCAATTAGACAAAATGGTCAAATCAGTTTGGGTTTATCGTAATATAATCTTGTGAGCATATTATGACCCTAAATTCCCCACCTGGGTTGAACATGAGATACAGTCTATAATATGTTATGATGTAAATTATGTACAGTGGGGAAAAAAAAGTATTTAGTCAGCCACCAATTGTGCAAGTTCTCCCACTTAAAAAGATGAGAGAGGCCTGTAATTTTCATCATAGGTACACGTCAACTATGACAGACAAAATGAGATTTTTTTTCTCCAGAAAATCGCATTGTAGGATTTTTTATGAAGCTATTTGCAAATTATGGTGGAAAATAAGTATTTGGTCAATAACAAAAGTTTCTCAATACTTTTATATACCCTTTGTTGGCAATGACACAGGTCAAACATTTTCTGTAAGTCTTCACAAGGTTTTCACACACTGTTGCTGGTATTTTGGCCCATTCCTCCATGCAGATCTCCTCTAGAGCAGTGATGTTTTGGGGCTGTCGCTGGGCAACACAGACTTTCAACTCCCTCCAAAGATTTTCTATGGGGTTGAGATCTGGAGACTGGGTAGGCCACTCCAGGACCTTGAAATGCTTCTTACGAAGCCACTCCTTCGTTGCCCGGGCGGTGTGTTTGGGATCATTGTCATGCTGAAAGACCCAGCCACGTTTCATCTTCAATGCCCTTGCTGATGGAAGGAGGTTTTCACTCAAAATCTCACGATACATGGCCCCATTCATTCTTTCCTTTACACGGATCAGTCGTCCTGGTCCCTTTGCAGAAAAACAGCCCCAAAGCATGATGTTTCCACCCCCATGCTTCACAGTAGGTATGGTGTTCTTTGGATGCAACTCAGCATTCTTTGTCCTCCAAACACGACGAGTTGAGTTTTTACCAAAAAGTTATATTTTGGTTTCATCTGACCATATGACATTCTCCCAATCCTTTTCTGGATCATCCAAATGCACTTGGGCAAACTTCTTTTTTTTGTTGTTTCTGGTGTCCTTTGACAACTCTTTGGTCTTGGCCATAGTGGAGTTTGGAGTGTGACTGTTTGAGGTTGTGGACAGGTGTCTTTTATACTGATAACAAGTTCAAACAGGTGCCATTAATACAGGTAACGAGTGGAGGACAGAGGAGCCTCTTAAAGAAGAAGTTACAGGTCTGTGAGAGCCAGAAATCTTGCTTGTTTGTAGGTGACCAAATACTTATTTTCCACCATAATTTGCAAATAAATTCATTAAAAATCCTACAATGTGATTTTCTGGAGAAAAAAAATATAAATTTGTCTGTCATAGTTGACGTGTACCTATGATGAAAATTACAGGCCTCTCTCATCTTTTTAAGTGGGAGAACTTGCACAATTGGTGGCTGACTAAATACTTTTTTCCCCCACTGTAAATATGTCAGTTAGACTGTGGACTGTACATATTATTTACTGTGCTGTACTGTATGTGTGTGACACATAGCCAGATAGCCTGAAGACAAACTCCATAAAACCATTTCACAGGAGACCTGATATTTAGGTCTGGACTACTCATGACCTTTAGGGTTTACCTTTGACCTCTAACCCTGAGGATCACATCAAGCTGATTGGTCAAATCAAGTCAGCTGCTCTCTGTAGAGAAAGTGTGTGTAATGGCCTCAGCAGTTCATCATGTGGTTTTTCCATCATGTTTCTAAAATAGAGGGTGAAGAATGATATTCTGGGTGGAGGATGTGTACTGCCTGGACAAGAAATCAGTGTTACTGCTGGTGGTAAACAAGTGGCCTACTGTATTAGACATACAGTAGTAATGTTCCATCTATCATGGCCTCTGCTGGGGACACTGCCATTGGGAGTTCTTCCCAGATTCACTAGCTTCTGAAAGATGTAGTACCATTACATTGCTTTATACTGTCTTCCATGTTGTAATGAACCAACTGTAAGTCACTCTGGAGAAGAGCGTCTGCTAAATGACTAAAATGTCAAATGTAAATGTAATGTCAACTTTCTCAAATGTAATATCATCAGTGACCGGCAAGCAGAAAGTCAATCTTCAGTTTCAAAAAGCTAGCAGGAAGTCAATTTTCGGTTTCAAAACGCTAGTGTGTTTCATGTTGACTGGTATCATGTAGGTTATATGTTTTCATAAATCTGCTGCTTTTTATACAGATTGTTTTTTGTTTCCCTCTGTGGCTGTACATTACTGCTTTTGTAATAATTTTTTTAAAGAATTGCTAAAAAATTGCCTTCGCTTTAAATTTCATATAGATATACATAGATTTTTAAATAACTTAATAATTGATATACAGTGCCTTGCAAAAGTACATTTTACATTTTAGTCATTTAGCAGACGCTCTTATCCAGAGCGACTTACAGTTAGTGAGTGCATACATTATTTTTTTCATACTGGCCCCCCGTGGGAGACGAACCCACAAACCCTGCTCTACCAACATCCCTGCCGGCCATTCCCTCCCCTACCCTGGACGACGCTGGGCCAATTGTGCGCCGCCCCATGGGTCTCCCGGTCACGGCCGGCTACGACAGAGCCTGGATACAAACCAGGATCTCTTGTGGCACAGCTAGCACTGCGATGCAGTGCCTTAGACCACTACGCCACTCGGGAGTACAAAGTATTCATCCCCCTTGGCGTCTTTCCTATTTTGTTGCATTACAACCTGTAATTTAAATTGATTTTTATTTGCATTTCATGTAATGGACACACACAAAATAGTCCAAATTGGTGAAGTGGAATGAAGAAAATTACTTGTTTCAAAAGATTCTAAATAATAAATAACGGAAAGGTGGTGCGTGCATATGTATTCACCCCCTTTGCTATGAAGCCCCTAAATAAGATCTGGTGCAAACAATTACCTTCAGAAGTCACATAATTAGTTAAATAAAGTCCACCTGTGTGCAATCTGTCACATGATCTCAGTATATATACACCTGTCCTGTAAGGCCCCAGAGTCTGCAACACTACTAAGCAAGGGGCACCACCAAGCAAGCAGCACCATGAAGACCAAGGAGCTCTCCAAACAGGTCAGGGACAAAGTTGTGGAGAAGTACAGATCAGGGTTTGGTTATAAAAAAATATCCAAAACTTTGAACATCCCACAGATACCATTAAATCCATTTTTAAAAAATGGAAAGAATATGGCACCACAACAAACCTGACAAGAGAGGGCCCCCCACCAAAACTCACGTACCAGGCAAGGAGGGCATTAATCAGAGAGTCAACAAAGAGACCAAAGATAACCCTGAAGGAGTTGCAAAGCTCCACAGTGGAGATTGGAGTATCTGTCCATAGGACCACTTTAAGCCGTACACTCCACAGAGCTAGGCTTTACGGAAGAGTGGCCAGAAAAAAAGCCATTGCTTAAAGAAGAAAATAAGCAAACACATTTGGTGTTCGCCAAAAGGCATGTGGGAGACTCCCCAAACATATGGAAGAAGGTACGCTGGTCAGATGAGACTAAAATTGAGCTTTTTGGCCATAAAGGAAAATGCTATGTCTGGCGCAAACCCAACACGTCTCATCACCCCAAGAACACCATCCCCACAGTGAAGCATGGTGGTGGCAGCATCATGCTGTGGGGATGTTTTTCATCGGCAGGGACTGGGAAACTGGTCAGAATTGAAGGAATGATGGATGGCGCTAAATACAGGGAAATTCTTGAGAGAAACCTGTTTTTCTTCCAGAGATTTGAGACTGGGACGGAGGTTCACCTTCCAGCAGGACAAAGACCCTAAGCATACTGCTTAAGCGACACTCAAGTGGTTTAAGGGGAAACATTTAAATGTCTTGGAATGGCCTAGTCAAAGCCCAGACCTCAATCCAATTGAGAATCTGTGGTATGACTTAAAGATTGCTGTACACCAGTGGAACCCATCCAACTTGAAGGAGCTGGAGCAGTTTTGCCTTGAAAGATGCCAGTGGCTAGATGTGCCAAGCTTATAGAGACATACCCTAAGAGACTTGCAGCTGTAATTGCTGCAAAAGGTGGCGCTACAAAGTATTGACTTTGGGGGGGTGAATAGTTATGCACACTCAAGTTCTGTTTTTTTGTCTTATTTGTTTCACAATAAAAAATATTTTGCATCTCGGCTATGTAAACTATTCTATTTCAACTGAAATTAAATAGTTGAAACACACTGACATTTTAATGTGAGCGGGCAAGTGTCTATAAACATCCCTCCCTGAGACAGATAAGCTACAACATTTGACTTGTTTAAATACACTTAACACAAGTACTGTATTTCTCCTTTTGGTACATGGAGTGTTTCAAAGTAGGTCATTGGAGAGCAGAAAAAATAACAATGTCAAGAGAGAGGATTCAATAGCTTGTCTGGCTGGTTGCCAGTAAGGCCTAGATTCAATACGGATTGCAGAAGATCTGCGTTTTAGCACGATTGACATTCAAAAGGTAATTTCCGATTGATACGACATGCAGCGTTTAACGCGGAACCATTGCCTTTAAAAAGGTGCATAGCAGAAAACAGGTGATCGGATTGAATGTAGCCCTTAGTTTCAGCAGTAGACTAGTCAACCTGTTGTGTTGTCCATAGTGATATAGTGCTGTGTAATGCAGTAACAGTTTGGCACGAAGGCTAATAATAGGACTCCATATTGATCCAAACACTCAGACCCTTGAGGATCAGCAACACTCAAGAGCCCTTCAACATGGTAAGAGACATAACAAACACAGAAACAGAGTATGCTGCCATTGGAGAAATGCAGTCCCAATGGACTTCGAGTCTAGTAATGTGGTACTTTCTCCAACTATCCATTTGGCTTCACCACTTAATGCCTGGGTACACCCCAGGCCTTATTTAGACATAAGCAAACAGTTGCATAACGTTTAGCAATGGAAAACAAGTTTCTATTGGACAAATTCAGGTAGGTCCCTCCCCATTTCATTGCGTTTTCTTCCTAGTGAATACACCCCTGGTAGCACTGACTTGAGACTACAAGGTACATCCCAAATTGTGAACGAGACAGAGGCACAATAAAGTCAAACTTCCCACAATACTTTATTATGTTGGAAAGTACAAGCATACGAGACATTCATATCAGCATTCTCTACCAACAACAGCAAAGTCATGGCAGAATACAGACAAACCCAAACTGTTGCATTGAAATGCTGAGTTTCCATAGAAATGTTATTAAACGGCCAAAACAGACAGAAACTAGCCCTTCATCAATAAATATATATTTTATTTTGTGTCAAATTTATGACGTCTCCATTTCATATGCATCTATTGAATGACCATGATTAAAGTGATCATATCGTTTTGTCACCACATCAACCTAACAAGGCTATTGTCTCTCAGAATCACACCACCTCCAACTCTTATTTAGTAAAATGCTATCAAACTTTTCAGAAGTCCCAAAAAGTTATATCTTCAACACATGTTCATACGGTTCATTGTCGCATTTTGAAACAAGCTATGTTCTGTGTTAGGAGAGCAGTCACAAAAGAAGCTCATACTAAAATTCCAGCACATCATTATAAACCACAAACCAGGCTTTAAATGGTGGAAGAGAAGAACCCAACCTAGCATGTCTGTCTCCCTCTCTATACAACTACTTTATGTTGTCTTAAGGCTTCAGGGGCCCATGTAGGTTTGGATGAAGACCCCCTGTACACACTGCACAGTGAAATTGTGTTTTGAGGGGGAATGGAGGACGGTAAGGGGGAGCAGAGAGCGGGACGTATGTGACCACTGGCCTGAATAAACAGTAATCTCCCTCCTCAACACTAACAAAAACATAGAAAAGAAACGGACCAAAAACAAAACCGGGAAAGAAGGGGGAGGCTACTGAAGGCACTACTGAACAAGTTTCCCAGGTACAACTTAGTGAATGTGATATACAAACAAACAAATAAAAAACGAACGAAAAATATCCACTTTGAACTTTGAAGACATGGCGACTAGCTTAGTCTCAACTCTCATCACTTCCTCTTCTGGCTCAGTCAGGGGGGGAGGGGCGATACATCATGTTGTGTGTCCATCATCATCTCCTCCTCACTCTGCCTTGTCCTTTGTCTTGGATTTGAACGGAACTTTGCCGGCTACCGTGGAACCCACTGATGACACACCCCCGGCAACCGATGACACGCCCCCGGCGACCCCTTTCACCAGGCTGACGCTCATTGAGGGGACGGAGGTAACTGCTGATTTTGTGTACTCCAGACTCTTCCCGCCGAGCCAGGCGACTCCTCCTACTGTGGCTCCCACCAAAGTTTTACTGGCGCTGAACAGGCCACCCCCGACCCGCCAGATCATGCCCGGCTGGGTCACAGGGTGCTCCTTCCCTTCACCTTTAGAAAGAACACATGCAAAACACCTCAGTACAGAAAGATACATACATACCAGATAGAGACATAACAGATAGCAAAAGACTAGATAGCGAAAGACCAGAGTGAGGAACACGCGTCATGTTTGTGTGACAGACCACCAGCAGTGTGAGAGAGACCAGCTTGGATATAGACCTACACCTACACACAATGAATCATATGATTAAACAATAGTAATGCATGTCAATACCTTGAGGTATTCTACTTAGTAACCACATTTCCATCCACAGTTTTTATCTGCAATAAGTCAGTTTGGTGGAAACACCACTGGTGAGAAAATGCAAATATTGTAAAATATGCATAATGAAAATATGCACATTATGCATATTTTAGAATATTCGCATGAAAATCTGTGGCCAATTGGACTGAAACCAAGCGACTGAGAAACTCTCTCCACAAGACTGACAAAGTACAACCCTAGCCTTTGATCATGACTCGCAGTTCCATTACACATAAGAGTCATTGGACGAAGGAGTCTTCTGTACGAATAAGTTTTGTTAAGAGCCCCGACGCTCAGTCTGAACATTAATACGCTTTGCTTGCGGTACGGTTTCAAAAGCACAAGGACCTTATCTTTCATATCAGCAAGAAATACTTTTCTAAAAGCTAAAAGGTTAAATTGATACACACCCTGATAGGGTTAGTGTTCCCCACATGGTCATATCTTGTTTACGGAAGACAAGAGGCGACCACCTGAGCTATCTAGCATGCTCCGAACATCTGTGTGTGTACGTGTAACTCCGGAAGTGTAGTTTTGTCAGATTAATGTGAAAAACTGCTACAGTACATTTACATTTAAGTAATTTAGCAGACGCGCTTATCCAGAGCGACTTACAAATTGGTGTATATTTTTTATTTGAAGGATTCTCTCTCGCTGATGAAAGATAAGGGCCATATGGTTTCGAAAACCTTATTGCAAGCGATGATTGACGTTTCTAAAATGTTAAAAAACAGCTTCGGAATTGTAGTACACAGGAGGTCTTCGTGGGCGAAGCTAATGACTGAAAACTGTAGGGAGAAGGCAGAATGCCGCCTTGAGAGCTAAGTACAACCCTTACCCTATCACAAACAAACATCTTCCCTTAATACATCTCTACAGTTTCTTAAAATAGCAACACAATCCTTTACCCTGAATTGCACCTTATCCCAGATGGTTCAAGAGTACCTTGACAAACTGGCGCTTTAAATATGCCCACCAAGAGAGATGGCTACAGCGCAGAGAGATATTGAGCAATGCAGTGGGCACTGTTGATGATGCGTTATTTACCTGCTGTGGGCTCGCTTTCAGTAGACTCAGGTTCTTCTCCCACGAGACAACCTTCAGGCTGGGGCTCTGGGGTGGCGTTCACGTTCTAACAGAACAAAAACAATATAGATTAGGCTAGAATGAATATATGATTTAATAAGCAAGTTCATTCAAGTAGCATATCTTACAAGCTGTTAAACTACCACTAACACTATAAGCCTGTTGGCAAAGTCAAAACAGTATAATCAAACTAATTTAGAAATGTATTTCTGAATAGAACGACCGGTGCAAATTCTGAGCAGCCATGAAAAAAGTGTTCCAGGCATAAGTAGGTTAAATAACAGCATATTATTAGTAAGGCTATGATTTGGGATTTCTTGCACAACACGTTCAATTTGACGGTGCCCGTCAAGCACAACCAACGTTCAAAACCAGTTCTTGTTGATGTTCAAAGTTATTGCTCGTTGTAAAACCATACGACAACCATTGTTTGCTTCGTGTTTACTTAAATTCCCTTTTGTTAATCAACGAAAAATTTCAAAAAGATGACAAAGCTAAGGCTACAGGCTTTTAAATGAGTCTTAGAAAGTCATCCCGTTGTGAAAGCTCTAATTATCTGGTTACGTAGGCTGCGCAGGGAGAATAACACTTACGAAATGAGAACGAAAGCGAAATGTAATACATCGTCAATAATTTGGGCTATAGATTTAGTTTAATATTTTTTTCATTAACCTACTGTTTGCTTGAAAGGACGCACTGTGCATCACTCAGTCTGGATCTAATCAATTCCATGCGTTATTTCGTTCGTGCGCAATTGTTTTATCATACCCCAATTGATATGCAGTAGCCTATCACTTTACTTATCGTAAGCACATAAATGCATTGTGAAAATTAAATCGATACAAAAGGCCAGACAAATCCTTACCTTCACCATGTTTCCAATATTTTCTGATGGCCGCTTGTAGAAGAGAATGCTACGTCTTTTTAAAAAACGCACCTGAGACGAATAATTGGTGCGCTCGTTTGTTTTCCTGAAAATCTTATCGCAATTTCCAGGCTGTGCCTTTTTACTTTTGTCCAAACTCCTCTATTCAAAGCTATACTTTAATAGCGTGCTGCCCTGTATTTCAACGCACGTAAAATCGTACTTTCGCAGTTTCAAAACTTTTCCTTAAGAAAGTATAGGATGTATCTTGTTGGTTCTGCCGACGTGGCGCCTCAACTACTGCACTCGTTTTCTCCGGATCTTGCGTCACCTCAAACAGACTGCCGCTCTCTTTATTTTATTCATGAGTACTACAGGGCAGACGGAATACATATTTTTCAGGCTTCACTTAAAGACAACATGTTATGTAATGCGGCCAACTTTTGAGTGGCCTTTTGGACTATAGCGGTCAAAAAGATCATGACATATGATTAATTCACAAGGATCAGTACATATTTTATCTTTTGGTAATACATTAATTCACCCAAATAACACAAAAGATGAGTCATTTATTAGGTTTATTTATTCAGTATTTGTCCATGTTAAAGATGTACAAAAAACATGTTACACCATACCAACGTTATAATAGTGAGTGTTGGTTGCCATGCCAACGGCGATAAGGTTCTGAATAGACAGGCAGCTGCACCACTGCCAGCCCAGAGAAAAACATCTCTCCACTACTGAATGGTCTCCTGTGATGGCAGTGATTCACATGCCATATAGACTGTAATGAAGAAGACTGTGGCTCTTCCAATAATAGATGTGAGGTCTGGCTGTCACACCTGCAGCCTACTTCTCTCTGTCACGTCCTAGTTTCAAGCCCCTTGACGTCCTGCCTTACCGAGGCATGTGGAGCAGATAAAGTATGACGGTTGAATGAACATGTCTGCGTTCTTTGTCTTAAGAGTTTTCAGTTCTGCAATGTTTATGCCTCGGCTTCAGAGCCTTCAACAACAAGATGCAACAAAACAGGTGCACGTGAAATTCAATGCAACAGTCTGTGTCCCAGTCTCTGTACCTAAGACCACTAGGCTACCAATGAAGTGCAAAGAAATGCGGGTGTACGCACAATCATGATAATTGCACTTTTAGCTAGCTTCTTCCATGATGTAGCTAATATGTCACTCCTGGTCTTGAGTGTCAGAGACACTGTGTGTGTGGACACTGACAGTGAAATGGACTATCTGACAACTCTGTGATTGTAAGGACAGCATCTCTGTGCAGAGGCTTGGGAATACATACAGCCACTCCAACAGGAGACTCTTCTTATCTCCCCAGACCACACTTTGTCAGTTCCCAGCCTTTGTACCCAACATGGTTCCTCTGCATGTTGCCTCTCTTGGCTTTCAGACGCAGTAGAGCAGGTCTTGGAAGAAAGCAGCCACAGTTGATGCTTTGTTGATGCTTCCTACCAGAGATTGTCCTGAAGACATACTGATGGGAACAAGACTACTCTGCATGGAAAAGCTGGCCAATGCTTTCAGATCAGATGTTAAAGGTGGGAGAGGAGGCCATTGATACAGTACTTGCAAAAGTATTCATCCCCCTTGGCCAGGTCTCTGACCTCCTCCCTATAGGCTTTCTTATCGTTGTCGGCGATCATGCCTACCACTGTTGTGTCGTCAGCAAACTTAATGCTGGTGTTGGAGTCGTGCCTGGCCATGCAGTCATGGGTGAACAGGGGGGGCTACCGACCCGTAGCACTCACGTCTGTAGCCATGAAGTGCTTTGAAAGGCTGGTCATGACTCACATCAACACCAATATCCCAGAAACCCTAGACCCACCCTGAGGGGCCCCTGTGTTGAGGATCAGCGTGGCAGATGTGTTGTTACCTACCCTTACCACCTGGGGGCGGCCCGTCAGGAAGTCCAGGATCCAGTCGCAGAGGGAGGTGTTTAGTCCCAGGGTCCTTAGCTTAGTGATGAGCTTTGAGGGCACTATGGTGTTGAACGCTGAGCTGTAGTCAATGAATGGCATTCTCACGTAGGTGTTCCTCTTGTCCAGGTGGGAAAGGGCAGTGTGGAGTACAATAGAGATTGCGTCATCTGTGGATCTGTTGGGGTGGTATGCAAATTGGAGTGGGTCTAGGGTTTCTGGGATATTGGTGTTGATGTGAGTCATGACCAGCCTTTCAAAGCACTTCATGGCTACAGACGTGAGTGCTACGGGTCGGTAGTCATTTAGGCAGGTTATCTTAGTGTTCTTGGGCACAGGGACTATGGTGGTCTGCTTGAAACATGTTGGTATTACAGACTCAGTCAGGGACATGTTGAAAATGACATTGAAGACACTTGCCAGTTGGTCAGCGCATGCTCGGAGTACACGTCCTGGTAATCCGTCTGGCCCCGCGGCCTTGTGAATGTTGACCTGCTTAAAAGTCTTACTCACATCGGCTACGGAGAGTGTGATCACATAGTCATCCGGAACAGCTGATGCTCACATGCCTGCTTCAGTGTTGCTTGCCTCGAAGCAACCATAGAAGTGATTTAGCTGGTCTGGTAGGCTTGTGTCACTGGGCAGCTCGCGGCTGTGCTTCCCTTTGTAGCCCTGCCACATCCGACGAGCGTCGGAGCCGGTGTAGTACGATTCAATCTTAGTCCTGTATTGACTCTTTGCCTGTTTGATGGTTCGTCGGAGGGCATAGCGGGATTTCTTATAAGCGTCCGGGTTAGAGTCCCGCTCTTTCAAAGATGTCTGTAGAAAGAATGGGGTGCCAGCTATGACATGACACCTTGAGTTTGAAAATATCTATTTTGCTTATTGAACTACAGTAGGTGAAGTGGATGTACACCCGGTAACGGAATTACGGTAACAGAATTACATCTTGGGGTCCCTGATCTGAACTACACAGAAATGCATCATTATGGATATGAATATAATTATTGTAATGTATCGTGAATAGATACACAAAAGGTAGAAATATGCAATATCCTTATTTTAATGAGCTCCGTCCCCAAACAAGAGCACATTTCGTTGGTCCGGACCAGACCAAATCTGAACCAATCATAGACGTCTATGTTTCACAAGTTTGGACATCACAGTACAAACACATTGTTAGGATGGAAAATGGTTGAAAAATGTATATATGCCTTAATTTCTCAAAAATATAGACTCTCCAATTTGACATGCTCCTATGAATTTCACGTTGGTGCTCATGGGTCCTTTTAGATGGAAATACCCAGTACTAGCAGCAGTCTGAAAAAGGGGACTAGTAGCTTTAGCAGTAGTGATGGTAGTAGAAAAGTACAGAAGCAGCGTTGTACCAATGATGCAGCCAGCCTGCAGCAGCACCTCCTCTGGGGCCATCCAGGGCTCATAGACTTAGAGGGGAAATACTTCCTGAAGACACACAAAGAGAGAGACATGAATCACAAGGCTGAAATATAAATCTGGGGTTTGAGACAGTGTGTGTGTGTGTGTGTGTGTTCGAGAGCCCTACCTGAGATATTCTCCTTCGGGGTCTGTGCGTCACCCGAGGCGTACAGGGCAGAAGATGCGTGTGGACTGGTGGAAGAAGGCACTGGCAGACAGCCACATCCAGTTCCCTGCATTTAAACTGTAGTCTGCATCCAACAGGTGCCCCTCAAACACCTGACACACACAGAGGGCACAGGACGATGCAGAGAGAAGCACAGTCATCTACTGGAGTACACCAACAACTGGAGACGCCTTGCAAAGTGACAGATTTTAGAGCCAGCAGCCATGTTGCCCCGCTTTTCCTCGTTTTTGGTACCTTGATGCCCTCCTCCCTGTTGATCCACAGGTTTCCCATCCCTCCCTCCCTACCTTCATGCCTCCCTCCCTACCTTCATGCCCTCCCCCCAGCTGACCCAAAGGTCTCCTCTCCTCCACCTCTCCCTCCCTCCCTCCATCCCTCCCCTTCTCCATCTCTCTTTACCTTGATGCCCTCCTCCCTGTTGATCCACAGGTCTCCCACCCCTCCCTCCCTACCTTCATGCCCTCCTCCCAGCTGATCCACAGGTCTCCTCTGGTCAGAAAGCAGGCCACAGCGTGTCTGGCCAGGTGGTGGATCCAGCCCTCCTGCCTCAGCTGGGTCATGATGGCGTCGATCCAGGGTAAGCCTGTCTGTTCCTGAGGGAGGGTGACGGGGACAAGGACAGGGGTGTCATTGACAGTCACACATGTTGTCTGAATGTTCATTTATCTGAGTTAGTGCTTCTTTTAGTGCAATTTAGTCAGCTCTTAGGACAGGTGCTAGTGCTCAAATTACATTGACACTTTGGGACAAATATTTTTTTCCAAGTTGGGTCATACGTCCTCCACTTCCGTAGCTCCTCCTGCTTGTCGTACCAGCCAATCTAAAGGCATATAGAGTTGCCCTCCTTCTTGATAAAGTTGGCCGTTGCCGAAGCGACGGTGTAGAAGAACTCCCTCCACAGCACCTGGCCCTGCAGAGAGACGGGAGGCAGGGAGTGGTTCTTCGACTAGAGGGGGGAGAGAGGGACAGAGGGAGGTAGGCGAGGTAGAGAGTGGGGGAGAAAGGGACGGAGAGAGGGAAAGAAGGAGAGGAGGAGGTAAGGGAGAAAGTGGGAGAGTGATGAGGACAGAGAGCATACTGAACAATAAACCCAACATCAACAATATGATGGCTTCTGGTTGCACTTCCTGGCTACTAACTATAATTTCAACATCAGGGTCTTCTGGTGAACACAACTTACCTGTGCATAGATCTTGGAGAGCTTGTGGTAGAATGCCCATACAGACAGACAACCCAAACTGAGGTAGGGACTGAGACCTGTGGTGCTGGGTAGCAGGGAGTTGGGGATGGTGCGTGGCTTGGAGAAGTTAGCCACCCAACCCTGTAGGGAGGGACAACATGAGTCAGTTAGAGTGCAGAATGCAACAAAACACCAGGGATTCTCTGTTAAAACAACTAAGAGACAGAAAAGTGATTACATTTTTGCATGGGTAAAAACGAATTAATCTATTGATAATGCATCCACTGGTGTCGGGCTACTTCGGAGTGTATTTACATGATTAAAGGGATAGTGCAACATTTACTGCCCTGAGTCAAATGAACTCATGAATACCCATTTTATGTCTCTGTGTGCAGTTTGAAGAAAGTAGTTTCTGGAGCCATTGCTAACTAGCGTTAGCAGAATGCCTGGAAGTCTATAGGAACAGCTAGCATGCTTGCCAAAATTGCCAAAATGTTGCACTATCCCTAGCTGTTATAAAGTACCTGGCTCTCAATGTGTCTCTGTAGCAGTGGAGGCTGCTGAGGGGAGGACAGCTCATAATAATGTCTGGAACGGAGCGAATGGAATGGCATCTAACCATGTATTTGATGTATTTGATACCATTCCACCTATTCTGCTCCAGCCATTACCACGAACCCATCCTCCCCAGTTAAGGTGCCACCAACCTCCTGTGCTCTGTAGCCTCATCAAGGCATGGCTCTCTCCTCCAGGCCACAGCACCTCTGACTGCCCCTCAATGCCCAGATCCTCCACAGAGGGAGCCCTGTAATCCCCTTCACTGTACTCCTCAGCTGCCGGGGAAGGGCACGTCCTGCAAGGGAAACATAAATATAACGTTATCACAATACAACAGGGAAGGACACTTCCTACAATAAAAGGGAAACATCCATATAATGTTACCCAAGTACAAATAGAAAGAATGTTGGGCAGCGGTGAGTGTTATTGTATCTTTTTCTGTTCTGCCCCCTTTTCCTCTTTTCAAACATCTGTTTTTAGTACAACCTGGAGGACACGACTGCAGTGTCACAATATTTCTTTGTTTTCCTCCAGCCTATCATAAATTTCTAGTTTATTCCCCCTCTCCCTGGACGACAAACCCTTCATGTTCATGTTCAAGCCCTCTCCATGTCCTAAGGCTTCATTTCCAGCCACTAACAACAGCCAGTAGGTCTAAAATGGGCTTCGAGACAGTCTCAAGGCTTTAAACCCTATTCGCTTTCATACTGTACAGAGAACAGTGGCACCTGTTCACATCACAGGAGAACAGCCTGTATGTCTCCCTAGAACACTGGTCCCAGATCACATCAAACAGCAGAACAGCAGGGAGTATGGTTTTGCTGTGCTTTTGATGGCCTAGTGCCTCAAATATCAAGCACACATGCACACACAAAACAAAACACAGAGATCATTGCTTTGAAGTTTGAACAGCTGGCATTTATTGTAGATTAGAGCACTAATGGAACAAACAGAGTGCTCCCCCTGAAGCACACACAAACAAAGGCACCGGCAGGGTCAACCTCGAGTTATTTCTCAGTCAACTATCTCTTTAGAACATATGGACACACACACACACCTATACTACACACACCCATTCCTTCCTTGGCGGGCGAGTTTACCCAACACAAGCAGTCTGGCAGCAGAGAGAGGCATCTGTTCCCTCAGTGACTCAATGACACACATACACACACGGAAATAACAACAGAAGCTGTGCCCAATCAACACTACCTAATAATGCCGTAATTAGCATACAATTAGCACAGGGAGAGAGGTTTTAATTCTCTATTATGGCAAATAGTTTATTGGATTAAATTGTCCTACTTAGATCCAAATATTGGTTGATTATACTAGAGGCTGACTAATTAACTGGCACACATTGTGTTCACAGGAAAGGCCTGGGTTTTGATGAATAAACAAGTTGTGGGTGTGTCGAGGCTTGGCCCCTTCACTAACCAATCAGAACGTGCTCCATGGCTAAATATGTGGTTGCTTCTTTTATGTATTGCATTGTCATCAACTCTAATTAGAATGTTAGTTCGTTAAATAGCCTGACCCATATTTTCTAAATATTTTTGAACATGTTTGCAGTCCACATTGTTCTAATTGCATGGCTTCCATATGGAAATACATTGTTAAACATAGGCTATAGCATTCACACTGATTTAGGGGCTAGGTCTTCTGTAAATTGCAGTATGGATATGCCAAACATAATCAATAAGAAATATTAAATTCACTAGGCTATTGATAAGGCATAAAAAGACAGTGTATAATTCGAGTCAAATTCTAATAAAAACTAAAAAACAACTTGTTTAAAATAGGCAAGGTATAAATACAGTTACAGGCGTCATAATTGCTCCCTGTGGCGTATAATACAAACAAGGCAACTTAGACTATGGAGGGTTTTAAGCACATCCAAACTTTTCACAGGATATCAAAAGAAAGGGGGAATGTCCACTCACCATTACACTGCTCGCAAATGTCATGTTATATAATCATCCTGGAACCATCTTACAGATCATATTTGCACTTCTCCAGAAATAGCTGTTTTTTAAACTAACAACAATATTTCTAAATAGGATCAGGTCAGAACTTGATCTTAACTTGATCGCTCCTTTGTCGCGGATCATTTTCCTGCTGCATCAGGAAATTCAAATGAGCCTCGAGTCTTAAATCTCTGAAAATGAGCAGTTCTCTTTCTCTCCATACGGTGGCAGATGAGTCATGGGATCAGGGCTTGCTACCAAAATAATTTTCTCTCTCACTCGCTAGGTCCTATTACTGCAACATTCAAATGTACAAAAATGTATCTGAAATGCAACCATACACATTAACAACCGTTGTTTTATATAGCTTAAAAGCACAAGTTAGATATTGGTCTAGGCTACGACATACAAGTGTCAAATGTATCCTAAGGTCAAAATTGAGTTCAATTATGGCCTAGGGTGGTCTAGCGGTTAAGGCCACCATGTCAGTGTGGGTTTGATTCCGGCACATGCCCTTCTGGCACAAATAACTCAACCCCTGATTGACTTGATTTATTTACACATTTAAAATATGGACAGTCTAGGGATATTTAACCCCCGGTCTTGATATGAAATGACCATACCAGACACTTTTGGATAACATAAATAGGAAACAAATTAAATACCAACAATAGGCTACACCAACAGCTTCTATTCATACAAAGTGTTGGGTAAATTGCCACAGTAGATTTGCCATGGTAAACGAGGAAACACTTAATTTATTTTGTACAGAATGCTTAGCATATACAGTGGGGAGAACAAGTATTTGATACACTGCCGATTTTGCAGGTTTTCCTACTTACAAAGCATGTAGAGGTCTGTAATTTTTATCATAGGTACATTTCAACTGTGAGAGATGGAATCTAAAACAAAAATCCAGAAAATCACATTGTATGATTTTTAAGTAATTAATTTGCATTTTATTGCATGACATAAGTATTTGATACATCAGAAAAGCAGAACGTAATATTTGGTACAGAAACCTTTTTTTGCAATTACAGAGATCATACGTTTCCTGTAGGTCTTGACCAGGTTTGCACACACTGCAGCAGGGATTTTGGCCCACTCCTCCATACAGACCTTCTCCAGATCCTTCAGGTTTCGGGGCAATACGGACTTTCAGCTCCCTCCAAAGATGTTCTATTGGGTTCAGGTCTGGAGATTGGCTAGGCCACTCCAGGACCATGAGATGCTTCTTACGGAGCCACTCCTTAGTTGCCCTGGCTGTGTGTTTCGGGTCGTTGTCATGCTGGAAGACCCAGCCACGATCCATCTTCAATGCTCTTACTGAGGGAAGGAGGTTGTTGGCCAAGATCTCGCGATACATGGCCCCATCCATCCTCCCCTCAATACGGTGCAGTCGTCCTGTCCCCTTTGCAGAAAAGCATCCCCAAAGAATGATGTTTCCACCTCCATGCTTCACGGTTGGGATGGTGTTCTTGGGGTTGTACTCATCCTTCTTCTTCCTCCAAACACGGCGAGTGGAGTTTAGACCAAAAAGCTCTATTTTTGTCTCATCAGACCACATGACCTTCTCCCATTCCTCCTCTGGATCATCCAGATGGTCATTGGCAAACTTCAGACGGGCCTGGACATGCGCTGGCTTGAGCAGGGGGACCTTGCGTGCGCTGCAGGATTTTAATCCATGACGGCGTAGTGTGTTACTAATGGTTTTCTTTGAAACTGTGGTCCCAGCTCTCTTCAGGTCATTGACCAGGTCCTGCCGTGTAGCTCTGGGCTGATCCCTCACCTTCCTCATGATCATTGATGCCCCACGAGGTGAGATCTTGCATGGAGCCCCAGACCGAGGGTGATTGACCGTCATCTTGAACTTCTTCCATTTTCTAATAATTGCGCCAACAGTTGTTGCCTTCTCACCAAGCTGCTTGCCTATTGTCCTGTAGCCCATCCCAGCCTTGTG